GTAAGGTAAGGTTAACCAATCAGAAGTGGGAGCAGAAGTCAAATTAAAGCGCTTGGTAACCTAGATACTGCACACATTATCGTAGGCAGAGCATAGCAGCCCAGTGAAGTAGTTCAGTTTTCTTTGCTATAAAAATCACCTTCCCCGTGGGTGTATTTTAGTGAACTTTTTGTATGTTGTAGAGATAAAATTTAACTATATATATTCATGGAAAAACGTTTTGTTGCAATTACATCCAACTTTGGTGTTTCAAATCTGTATTTCTGGTTGATTAATATTTTTGCGAGTTAGCTCCCCCTCACTTAGTCATCGAGCTGTCGCTTATACACATCTATATGTGTATAAGAGACAGATGGTGTACCACAAACAGTAACTGGTAGAAAGCTGTTATTTTGGCAGACAATCCTTACAGTAAGCTTGCAAAGATTTCTTTTTTTAAAGAACAGGTGCAAACTGGTTAAATGGACAGTGTGCTATAGTTTTCATCTCATCCCTGAAGTTGAAACACTGAATGATGGGATTGAACCAGGCATGGTTCAGTGTCAGATTATCACCCACCTTCAATAGTTTATTCAACTCATGAGGTGTTTCTACCCTTTAAAAATTTTCCTGATTTCCAACCATCATTTGGGACATTAGACCTTTCTCTGGTAATTGCTCTTATAATTGGATTATAATCATAGCTTCTGTTATTTATTGCAGCTATACTATACCATACCTGAGGCTATGTTCACACACACGGCGTAAGGCTGGCGTAGCGTACGCCTTTGTGTGAACTAGGCAGTGGCGTTACTTACGCCACCCATAACGCTACCTCCGTGGCATTATTAACGCTACCTGCAGACCCCAGATTAGCTAACGCCACGGAGCTAAATGCCAGTGATGCTTGAATGATTTGACCTCATTTCAAGAGACTGACCAATCACAATTGCAATAGATTAGTTACTTTGATCTCTTTCCTGTGCTCTCTATAAATGAAATGGTAAAGGGGCTCTATTTCTATTGCATTTTACTTAGTTATAATGTATATGATTTGTTGATTGTGTTGTAAGATATTTTAAACTATTTAGACTGTCTATTAAAACCTGCAACACCAACAACTGTTCCACAATGCTAGCTGAAAAATCAGAAGTAAAATTGTTCATTTAAAATACAATAATCATATAAGTTTACTTAGAACAATTCACAAATTTAAAAGTTTTAATGATGCACTGTTAATTTTACTACATTTAAGAACCCGTACATTACATTGAAAATTATTCTCCCATAGGCCTATATTACTAATAGTTTAACGCCAGTGTTAATATAGGGAACGCCGTTTGTGTGAACACTTTGGAATATTAATCCGTGGATTAGCTTACGCCGTATGTGTGAACATACCCTTAGGTATGCCCATGTGATTTATTGACAACTTCCTGGAAAAATAATTACGAATTCGGAGTTTGATTGTCAGTTAAAGGCCAGCTCCGGGCAAAAATTTTGTATTGATTATATACTGTATTATAGTTATTATCAATCTATTGATTCACCTATGTTTCTGGATTTTTCTGAATTTTGTTTTGCTACATGATTTTTTTTTAAAATAAGTACTTTTTTGAAAGTGGGGGTATAGGTAAACTTACCCAGCAAAATTCCTATTCTTTTGCACACAAATGACCTTAAGAGCAGGCATTTTTAAATGACTAAACTGGGGTGAATTTAGTCGAACTTTTGGTTTCTGGAGTTTTTATTTTACGTCAAGTATGTATTTCTGCGCAATTATCATTTATTCCCCACCGTACCCACTTCAATTTTTTTCACTTTCCGGGGAGTCAATTGCTCTGAGCTTTGTGCATGCGCTAACTTGCCAATCCATTAATCTGCTGCTCTCGCTCGCTCCGATCCTTTTGTGTAAAAAAAGTGGGAGCAAGAAGATGACAAGATGATGAATAAAAAAAAATAATCACATGAGTAGGCCTATTTTGGCTGAGTAGTAATGGTGGAAAGATAGACGGGAAGGTTTGGTGGTAAATTTGATCGATCTAGGTCTAGCTATGGATGCCTTTGAGCCAGAGGTGAGGCCTAGGCCCTATATCGTGGGAAATCGTTGACAGGAGAAGGTACCTATGCCAGCCCAGCGGGATTCCTTCCCAGCCCGGCTAGGGGGTGGACAAGTTGAGACGATTGGGTCGGTTATGCGGTATCATTTGCTACTTAAGAATTGAAGAAAAAATGGAAGACCACAGTTGTTGACGATGATAAATTCAAGAAACACTGCCTTGAAATTAGGATGTTATCAAACTCGTCTATGAATCGAAAAAGGGAAATTCTCAGAGAATAAACGAGGCAACAACATGTCTTACATAAATAACTATAGTAATAGTAATATTTACAGGCCTAGACTTCCTGTGCAGTTCAGTAGTAGGCCTAGGGGCCTAGTAGGGCCTACGTCAGAGGCGTATAACGCTTACCCCTACAACAATTCCTACAAATTACACTAGGCAGGCAATGCGTGGATTAGTAGGAAGATTGGTATTAGTACTATTCCGTGCAGTTCTCTTAGCTAAACATGGACTTGTTGACTGGCTGAGATATGACTATGTGACGATTAGCCTAGAAACTGGGCTGGTTTTGATACTAGGCTAGCCTAGGTCTTTGTTTTATATGCAAATTAATACACAAACTAATCTCTTCTGTCATTTTTTTTGTTTTTTTTGTAGTTTTATCAATTGTATTATTGATTCTGTTATGGCAACTATGTTTATTGTACACCATCTTGACCGACGCGTTTTACAGGTTAGTGGTGGTAAAGTCAAAAGCAGCGCGATGTCACGTTCTCGCGGTGTCGTTGGTTGACAGTTAGTGTGTTGTAATTTGTTTTTTCATCACGCTTGGAGTATTCTAAAACCTACTGTAGCAAGTGAAAAAAAGTAGACTGTTTGAATTTTGCGGTTCTATGCGGATTTTTATATTCTCGTTTTCAGTCAATTTGCGAATTTTTTTGTCAAGATTACTCACATGATATCTTATTAATGTATTTGAACACATAGTGAAGAGAAAATGTATGCCCGGAGCTGGCCTTTAAGGTCAGTGCAAAGTGTGGTTCCTTAACCTGTCAGAGCTATTGCTGAAACGGGTATTGTGGTAAAGGAAATTGTAACAGCATGGATAAATACTATCTTCAATCTAATGCATGTCTACTATGTGATAACTTACTCTCACAACCAGTGATTCCAAAGTTGATCCAGGTTGGCATGCACTGACTGCAAGTACGTCCACCGACACCTGTCCGACAAGGACACTGCCCAGTCATGACATCACATATTGGAACTAATGTGCCAACTAGGTCACAGGAACAAGCTGGAAAAAATAACGTAAAATTATCAGCAATAGTTTGTATATTCTTTGTTGTAAAAAGAACAATGAAAAAGAAGTGAAAGCATTCATGCCATAATAGACAACATAGAGAAAAAAAAATTGCAGAGAATAAATAAAAAAAGTCATTTAGAATGAAATGAACTATATACACATAATAAAACATTACTAAATCTATTACAGTTTAGACAGAGAACCTATATAAGAGAATAATACAGTATGCCTCTTTCAATTTAAATTATATTTACTAAAATAGTGTATATACATATAATACCTTAGATATTTGTTAAAAATTATATATTTTTTATTGTTATATTGTGAAAGAAATAAATGTTGATTTGATTTCATTTGAGTAAATGACGAATTAGCTAATTAAGAATTAAAATGTTAAATATGAACTTACATTGACATGATTGCGTAGGAAGTCCATAGTAACCCTGAGAGCATATGTCGCACTTATCACCTACAGCACCTCCAAAGCAGTTACACAATCCTTGCTCATTACACTGCAACGAGGTTGAACCAAGCTCATTACATTCACAGGCAATGCACCCCTCAATTAGACCAAAGCCATAGAAGTTATCCATGCACTGGGCACAGGTTAACGTGCCAACGCCATATTTGCAGGGACACTGACCGGAGCGATGATTACAGGGCAAGTTTATTGAACCAAGAACATGGCAGTTGCAATCTGAAATATTATTATGATAATTAATAATTTGTTAATCAAGGCAAAAAGTATCAATAAGACCAGAGAGCTTACTCCTGTTTGTAAATAAGTTACTCCCCTAGTTACAACGGAAGTTGTCATCGTCGTGAGTTGATAAAGGGGTAATTAACACTAATTCATGCAAAAATGACACTAGCTTACCTTGGCACATCTGCAAAGAGGCATCACCATAAGTTGAATTTTCACATCGTTCACAATTAAATCCAGTTGTCCGTGACTGACAATCTATACACTGTCCTGTCCTTGTGTTGCATTCCAAGGAGTTTCCACTACAATTGCATTCTTCACAAAAACCATCCTCTAGTTCTGGTTCACCAAAGTAGAATGTCTCACACCTGTGAAAAACATTTTTTTGTTATAAAAATCTTTTTCAATGAAATGATATTAGAATAAACGAAAGGTCCACTGAATAATCTCAGAAAAGATAGAATACATGCTCCAAGTATTGAAATGCACGCCATCATCATCGGGATGATGAAATAATTAATGTCAAAGTATTGAGTCCCAACGCGATGGCATGCATTTCGATATTAGAATAGAGTAACTATATAAACTTGATGTGGAAATCTCATTTATTTTTATTCTCATCCAACATCGAGTGAATCATCACCGACATGATAATTATTCTATCTTAGAATATCCTCTATCTTATATTACTAGCATTATCATTATTCCCTCTACCAATGGAGGTTATGTATTTACCGTTGTCTGTCTCCCTGCTGGTTAGGAAGATTACAAAACAATTAAGGAATGCATCATCAAAAAGCACATCCAGATAAAATATGAACAGATAAATTCCAGACTGTTATTTTATTATCGTTTCCACTACATTAGGAAAAAAATCAGGATATTGATATTTCAAAATATAAATTGGAGTCACAAATATTGATACATGAAGATGAAGAACTAGCACATTTACAGTAATACTTACGAATCACACAGAGGCCCAACATGACCCGGTAGACAACTTAAACATGTGACCACACCCTCTATTACATCACAACGTGCATCATCTGCTTTGGGTGGACCACAAGGACAATCTGTACAGTCATTCTCAGTGCCTGCGGTTGCATCGCCGTAAGTTCCGTTAGCACAAATTTCGCAGTTTATGCCTGAAGAAAATGTGAGAAAATTGTAAAATGGCTGATAATAAAATTTGTAATGATACCTTACTCGCGCGAATAACCGCTCAGGCACTTAAAATATATTTTGCCCTTTTTGTGGGGCGCTTATTCAAACGTGGCGCTTATGAAATCAGAGTAGAAATTGAGGGGGTGCTTATGGAAATATATGAAAATTGAGGTGTTCTTCTGGGAACTTGGAAAATTCAATGGGCAAATTTTTAATGAAAAAAATTATATAAGGACATCCGAAAACCGAAGATTTGGAATGGTTTTGGTGCAGAAAAGATACTCGTCCAGAGAGCATGGCTGGTGACAAGAATTCTGTGAGTTTCAACAGCAGATGAAATTAGTGATGTTGGCCATCTGCCGATTGAAATTAGCAGGATCATAGCAGGGCTTCTTGCAAACTCAATTGAAAACGTGCTAAAGGTGCAAATTGTCAGGAAAAGAAAAAGAGAAGTAGATAAATGTAAGAAGAGGAAAGTTGGAAAGATACTGTCCAGGGAGCTCTCATCTGTCCAGGATAAAATATCCTCATTTTGAAATTGACATAAGAAGAAAATGTGAATCCACTCTGCAGCCCAAATCACGCCAACCACAATCTCAGGATTAGTTAGATTATCGTTTGCTAAAAAAAATCGATCACAAGATATTGTTTTAAAAAATGAATAAACACCAAGGGGCGCTTATTCGAACAGGGCGCTTAAGACAATTTTCACATTAGGAGGGTCGCATATTCGAGAGGGGCACTTATTTGTGCAAGTACGGTATTAATTATTGTCAATTGTTAATATTATTATACTGTTATTATTACTATATGAATGAATGCGAACCTTTATTCACTACAAATTTTCATGATTATTACAGATGGTTATGATTATTTCAGTTTAAGAAATTTATTAATCTTTTTATTTGTTAGACAAAAGTGGGTCAGATATTTCAAATATATGAAATTTTTTTGTATAATATTATTCTATATATTAATTCAAATAGACATTTGAAATTGTGCATATTTTTTTAATAAAAAACAGAGGCAGCTTTACAGTGAATTATACTTTTCAGTTTAAGTTTGTTGATATTATCCATATATTGATATTTCTTTCAAATAAACTAAGTGTAATCTTATTTTTTGTGGTGTAAAATATAGTCCAAAATTTATACTGCATACGTAGGTTTAAATTTACTTTAAAACAACCACACTTCCTGGTACATACATCTTCTAGCAGCTAAAGACAAACAAATCAAGAATATAAGGTTACAAATAATGTGACCAACATTTGATTTGAGCCTAAGATCAACAGCTAGGAGGCTCAAGCTTCCCACTTCATCACATGTTCTTCAAAAATTAAGTTCCTACCTGTAGTGTTGTGCTGACAGTCTATACATTGTCCATTACTTGGATCACAAGAATCACTATGTCCATTACATGTACACGAAATACACACACCAAAATAAGGGTGGTTAGTCACATTGGTACGATAGTAGTCTGCAGCACATTCCTGCAATTAGTAATTAATTTACTTAATTGTTATCTTTTATTCAATTTACAAGTATCTTGTCAAAATATATACTAAATATTTAGCAATTGCTGGCAATTGCTTAGCATTTTGCCGAATGCTGGGATTAGAAAGTTAGCATTAACTATCAATTAACTACAGCTAAACTTAATTGATGTTTGACATTCTAGGCCTATTGTGCAGTCAATACCTCACATGACAGGCCTGAATATCCTAGACCACAGTTACAATCCTCAACAGCAAGAGATGTAGCAGCCCTGGGATCATAGAATTCTGAGCCAGGAGCGGTAGCCTGATTATAGTAAAAATTTCCAATGCTATAAGTATAAAATAAATATTCAATGTTTAAGTAAAAAACATTTATGTACTATTTATTATATAAATGGGTTCTATTTGGATCACAAATTAACAGCCATGCTTCATGGATCATCCTGTAAAAATAAATTTACCTTAGAGAACAAGAGGACCAAGCAAACAAATAACATTTTTTTCAATAGTTCAGTTGAATTTCATTGTTGTACACTGGTGCTATATGAAAATTATTATCAGGAGGCTTGCAGAGAAACTGCTTAAATACCATACATGAGAAACTCTTGGGATAGTCAATGATTAAACCAACAAATCTGGGATGTGCAACCCCCTATATCACCATTGCTTGTTAAGCAACAAAAGGTAACTGACCTGGACAGGTGTTCATCAAAGAAGAGAGTTGCTGAAATAAGAAAGAAGTCAACACGGCTTAATGTTTTCATAAAATCTTGTCTTGAGATCTGTTCATCTGTGGTTTCAGTCCTCCAGTTGGTTTCTTCTATTGTGATAGAGACAGGAGTTAAAGTGGCATTCAGAACTGGATCAAATGTGTAAGTGTATCTATTTCCAAGACCCTATAAAAAGGCAATATATTAAGCAATTATAGTCAGGTTTTGAGTATGCTATAGGAAATAGAAACTGAAGAAGCCATTATTTCCTGAAAAAAAATTTCCTGAAGCCAGCTGGGCTGAAGGCAATTTTTGAAGGAAATAATGGTTCCTGAGTCTTCTACTTCCTATAGTGTACAAAATTACTTGACTGTAATTGCTTTATAAGTCAGTTGTGACATCCATCACCCTTTTTAATCAAACTGCTGGTTAGAGTGGTTGCTATAATCATAAGTTCATAGTGCTGGTCGCAAACGCAGTCAGTTTCTTCTTTGTGTTTGCATTAGCTTCGCGTATTAGAATGAATTGTTACGGTATTAGACACTCTGACACTCTTCGCAGAGAGCTCTTCTTGTTCGCCCCTCTGTCTGAGACTCTTTCATACAGTTTACTCTGGTGGTGATTTAGCCAGTGTTCTTCCAGCCTTGATGTAAATTGATTAATTCTTTGTGAATGTAAACATGATGCTGTGTAACATGCTATGTACAAATATGCATGATGTATGTATGATGTCATCAGTAAATCTAATACGATGCCATGTGTGCTTGGTGCCACAATGATAAAGATTTTGTTCTTATAAAATCAAATCGTGATCTTACCGAAAGCAGTGCCCTTGGTTCCGTGATGGGACTTGCTATACTTGCTGGTGCTTCGTAATACAGAACAAATCTAACATCATTACCATATAAGTGCAATAAGTTGCCATCTAAAAATGGCCCATCCATAGGCCACCAGTAGAGATCATTACCAGCAGGTACACTGATCGACATGTAACTGACGCCCCCCATCAGTGTTGGTATTGGAAGCTCCACAGATAGCTCTGTCGCAAATCTGTTGGCTGCTACGCTCCACAAGGCATCATTATTTGTTGGAATTTGAAACTGACATTAAAAAAATATGGTTACATTTTTTAAATAACATTTTATAAAAAAAAATAAAATATTCATTTTTGGTATGTCAAAAACTTCCTCAATTCAGCCATTGGCTGCCAAGGAATGCTATTTTGCCACTTTATAAACTGTTTTTTTTATTAGTGTGATATTTGATATTAAATAAAAAGATACAGAGATATGATAATTATTAAAAATCAATTATTTTAAAGCATTTCCTATTGTACTGTATGTTATATGCTGTAAATGTAAATTGAGCTACAGAAAAAATAATTTGAAAAAAAAATTATGGTACATAAATCATTAAAAAAAATATCAAGAAGAGAATTAATTAAAATAAGTATAATGTAAAGCGAGAAATAAAAAATATAGAGATATAACAGAAATAAAGAGCAATTATAGACTTACAGAAATATAAAAAGAATAAAAAACATAATATAGATAAAAAATTACTATAATAAATATGAACAACACACCCAAGCAGACAAAACTTACCAATGAGTATTTCCAGGAACTGCTACTACACTCAGAGGTCACACCCATACACACACAGTCAAGGCAACCGGTATCATACATCTCTGATATATGAAACGATGATGAGGAACATGTTTGACATAGGATGCCCTCTGTATTTTCTTTGCAAGGACACTGGCCAGTAGTAACATTACATGTCCCATTGTAACTGCCAGCAATGTCACATTGGCAGCTTGTACAACCAGCAGAGGTAAGGGTGCGGAAACCTTCTAAACACTCGGTGCATTTTTCACCGCCGACGCCTGGATGACAGAAACATGTTCCATCTAATGCATTGCACTGAAGACTCACTGATCCAATAGAATTGCAGTTACACATCTGTAATAAATTAGACAAATAATAATACTGATTATGATGATAATGAAAATGATTTTGTAATGGTATAAGTGAGTGAACTTTTTAAAGGAGATTATTTACTATTAAATTAATATGTGATGTTTATTTGTACTGAATTAATGTTTTTTAATGATCTAGAAATTGCATACAACAGCAAGTTACTCACCAATTACAGAATGGAATGGTGATTTATAAACTAAGTCTCTATATGAGACGTAGTTCTGTCTGCCGTACAAAAAATATTACTGTCACAGGGTCACAAGAATTGATCACAGGACCCTGGGATTAGAAAGCAAACAACTTAACCACTAGGCTATACAACTCCAATCCATTGTAGCATATAGACCTTCAAATCTACTGTGTCATAAAACTATCCAATCAATAATTATGATGATAATGATGATGACCATAAATTGTTAATATTTATGATCTTAATGAATATTCATAAGCCTGATCAACACAATAAAATAATGATATATAGCATAGCCTTAATCAGATATTTTTATGTGACATAACATACCTTACAGCCTGTGGTACTATTTAGACCCCATGCATATGTGACACATCGGTCACACTGCCGCCCCACGGTGTTAGTGGGACAATCACATTGTCCAGTCAATGAATCACACACCTTTTCATCACTGTAACAATTGCAAGCTGTAAAAACATTATATAAATCATGTTGATATAAAAAAAAACCTCAGGATTGAATATCCATCACCATTGCATTTTAAGATATAGGCTAATAGTGAATTAACAACTAATAAAATTATCGGTTAATTATCCTGCTCTACCTCTCAATTAATATTAAATATGATCCAGTGGCGTATCAAGGGGGTAGGCAGGGGTAGCACACCCCAGCCCAGTGGCATATCAAGGGGGTAGGCAGGGGTAGCACACCCCAGCCCAGTGGCATATCAAGGGAGTAGGCAGGTGTAGCACACCCCAGCCCTGTGGCGTATCAAGGGGGTAGGCAGGGGTAGCACACCCCAGCCCAGTGGCGTATCAAGGGAGTAGGCAGGGGTAGCACACCCCAGCCCAGTGGCGTATCAAGGGGGTAGGCGGGGGTAGCACACCCCAGCCCAGTGACGTATCAAGGGGGTAGGCAGGGGTAGCACACCCCAGCCATATCACCTTATTTTTATACCTTATGCTCCCTCATTTAATCATAGGGCCTCCACTCCCCATCATCTTCACCATTTCAAGTCTTCTGGATACGCCACTGATCAAATAAACTTGTAGCAGCCAACCAATGAGCACCAAGCCCACTGATTGGTGTATAAGTGTGTCAACCAATTAGGAATATACTACTGGCAGTCTCAACCAATCAAATGCTTTCTACCTTTACATCCCGTACTCCTAAAGTCATAAAATTCAGGTAGGCAAACATCGCAACGGCGCCCTCCCACTCCAGGCTGGCAAGGGCATTGACCTCCATATGGATCACAGTTATTACTGACACTGCCGGCAAGGTCACAGTTGCATTGAAGGTTACCATCTAGATAGGTTGTTGTGATGATAAAAACTGACGACAAACAAAATTCCTCCGTCTCCGTGCCAATCCTGCGCAAGGAATTATAAAATTGTTAACTTCATCATAACATTTATATCATATAAAATCTTAATGGTCTTAGAGGTACTTGCATAGATTTAACAAAAAAATCGGAAATTTGTCATCTATGTAATAACTTGTATGAATCACACCACAATATAAGAGTATTGTTTAATCATATTTGGCAATTATATAGTGTTTCCATTGACAGTCAAATGATGCTTCATTTTGGACAAAGTAAAAAGAAAGCACACCCCTTCCTCAAGTTTTCCTAACAGTCTCATACTATCAAGATACAAATTTCTAATTCTGGGTGAAGAGTAGAGAGAAACCCACACAAAGTGCCTGACCAAGGGATACATCAAATGGACACCATGTGACATTCGAACCACCTCCATTTTAAAATATAAACCATTACCGCATGTCATTATTTTGTACATCGCATGTTGTGACGAACTGCTGGGCTATGATTGGTTCAAGTACTCCAACTGGATTTAGGAATTCTTCAGGTATCAGTATAACTTGATCCTAAAACAAATTGTAAAATATAGAAATTTATTATAAAACATCAAAGTCTACAAAATTGTAAGTTCTACTGAACTGAAAAGCTCCAAGGATAAAAATAGCTTTGAGCTTACCAAATACAGTTTGGCTTCTCCCTCCATGTTCACAAACACATTCACTGTCCAATCACCAGGCTCCACTTGGAAGTATAACCCCTGAGACTGGTCCAGGTTGTAAACGGGATCGTAACACCATTCCCCCAGACAGTTAGTCAAGGTGGCCTGACCCATTTGCATACTACCGGATGTTAACTCCCCCGGAGAAATAGAGACACTCACGGTAGTGACACTCTGGCTAGAATAGCGAAGAACAATTTCAGTTCTGCCAGAAAGCTGGGTTGTTGGCACGGTTATTGTAGTGGAAACAGTCAGCTAAAATGATGCGAGAATAATCAAAATTAGTTTAATTTAACAGAGAATTTTTTAAAATGAGCAAATGTGTTTAAGCTGGAAATTTCAAGTAAACCCTCAATTGAGTCAGTAATGCAAGATGCAAGATCATATCAAGAAACTTGACATATTATAATAATTCATCCTGTTTAGAATGTTTATACTTTTAACTGGATGAATGAAGGCGTACTTACTGCTCCTGTAATAGCCAAGTAACCAAAATAGCTATATCCAGGATTGGTAGCATCATCTCGTTCCCAGTATGGACTCCTTGTCGTTTCAAACTCGGCATTGATGAAATGAACTGTGGGATAGTATGACATCAGTAGAGGTCTGTTGTAGACAAGGATACATATTAGAGGGTGTGTGTTCTCATATATAAACTATAAATTGCAGATAAGCTAAACTTCCATTTACACAGTAAGTACAATATTATTCAATTATTTTTATGAATAAGTACATGTAGTATTTTTTATTTAATTTATTTAATTAACAAATTAATTATGTTGTTGTACTAATTAACCTGTCACATTGTCTGCCAGACACATAGTTCTTGCAAATACACTGTCCACTGCCTTTGTCACAGAGGTTATTAATAGCGCCACCAACATTACATTCACACGGCAAACATCCCTCTAGGTTATCAGATGAGAGGGCATAGAACTCATCCTGGCATGTATCACAGCGTCTTCCAATAACGAACGTCTTGCATGGACACTGACCACTAGAATCTTTAATACACACAGCCGTCCCATTATCAGTACCAGCAGTAAAACAATTGCAGCCTGTAAGAGGAATTATGCAATTAAAACTAAGTACGGTTTGCACAATAAGCAGAACTATGATAACATCTATTGCAGAACAATTTTATATCAAATAATAGTAAAATTTACATCAACAATTTATGATATTGTCACCGTTCTCATACAATATTATGATTAAAATTACCACCTATTAACAGAAATCTGTACTTATAACCAAACCTCCATTAATACCACTAGCTTAGCAATTTCTACCACTACACATGAAGACCTTACTTGTGCAGCCCTCTGGGTTGCTGTCTGCCAGGTGGAAGTATCCATTGCGGCATTCATCACACTTTGACCCTATCACATTGTCTTTACAATAACAATCACCAGGAACCTAAATGAAATGAAAAAAAAATCAAGCTAAACAATCATCTCTATTGCACCAAGGCCAATCACATGAACATATTCATCATCAGTTTAATTTTAAATTCTTTATTAATTAGTTTGCTAAGTTGATTGGTCATATATAACAATACTAATCATAATATACTGTAGTAATATTAGCATTTGTCATTCAGAGCATTCAGATTCCATAATCTAGAAATTTGCCAAAAGAGAGTCCAACAAAGTAACCTATTATTTTCTTACCATTCCTATTGGTAGTAGAGTATCATTGTTCATAACACAATGTCCTTTGTTAAGTCCAATACTTGGGTCTTCTCTCGTTCCATCTAGATAGCAATCACATGGTTGACAAGCATCCACATCGGTTTGAACACTTGTCAGCGGCCGGTAGTGATACTCAACACAACGCTCGCAGTTGATTCCTACGAATTATGGAGTTTTAAAAAAATACAAAAATAAATTTTTAAGAAGACTGTCCAGCAAGTACATGCAGTACTATAGGGTAGATAAAAAATAATCTATTGGATATACTGTATAAACATCCTAAATTTACATTCAAACAATAATTATAATCAATTAAGCAAATTTTTTGTTGCAGCGAACCATTGATTGACCCATCACATGCATTTTTTTGCAACCAGTGTGGTCACTGTTCGCTAGTTTGCTTTACTAAAAAAATGTAATATTAAATACATTTTTTTATTTTTCTCCCAGCAGGATCTGAACAAAAAACGAAGGGATTATAAGGCAAACCCTTCTTAGTTGAACAATTATCCTTATCATCACAGTACTCACCAGCCGTGTTATTCATGCAATTTTGACACACGCCCCCACCGTGGTATCTCCCTGCCCCACTCAGACTTCCATTGATAGCACCGATAACTGAATCATAGTAACACACTTCGCTGTGCTGAAAGCAGTTGCATTCTACAAAATTACAAAATATAACAAATCAATTGATAGTTTGGATTTGAACAGGTAAATTAATTATTGTACAAAAGAAAGCAAACACAAACACACAAATTGTTCTCCCATTAAAGTTAAAGTTAATCCAACCACCCGTATGGAATGAGCTGTTAGGAGCCCATCATACTCAGCCGCATCATTGTGTGGCATTGTTCTATTAACTATAATATAGATAAAATAAGAAAATATACAAAACAATAGAAAAAATAACACCAAAATACCTAAGCAAGCAAAATTGTTGTATCCTTGTTGGTATGGTAACTGGTTAAAGAATGGTAAGCACTGATCACAGCTGATTCCCCCAGTGTTACCCCCGCACACACATTGGTAAGTTTCCTTCTCTGGGTCCTCTTCTGATGGCTGTAGTGTGCAATCACTTGCGTGGCCATTACACTCGCACTCAGCAGTCACCACAATATTACGGACCGTGTAGTGATGCTGAAATGTCATGTCAATAGTTTAAAGAGAAAATAATATTCATTTTTAATTGTACAGTAATACTAAATTATTAATATACCGGAATTTTTTACTTACAAAAATATCAGACAAAAGACCAAATTTACGGGGCATATCATGGAACTCAAAGCGAAGGTACTGCGCACGACGCCACTCAATAAACTCCTCGGGTACAGGCATTGTGAACTGGATCTATAAATAACAAACAAATAAACATATAGTATGTGAATGATGTTCTCAGGAAGTGAGTGAATGATATTATGCCATAAGGAATAATGAAGAAGAACATGAAAATATGAGAAATGTAGAAGTAAAAAAATTATGCGGAGGATCAGATTATGTAAAAAAAGAACACTAAAAAATGTTCTTATTATGGGCTGCCATTTTGTGTTGTAAATATTTTATAGTATAATTTTCTTTTTAACTTATGTATCTAATTAATATATACTGTATCTACTTGGATTGCCCTACAAAAACAGTGTCCTAACAAAAGTTCTTTGCATTCAATTTATAGTTAGTTTATAGTTAGTTCAAAAACCAAATCGTGTATTCATTTTCAAATATTACCAACAATGCCTTCTAAAAATGTAAGAACAAACAATCTCATTTTAACTTGTGATCAAAATGATCAGTTAACAATTATCTCACGAACCCTAGATAAAAGAGCATGTATTGTCATCTTAGTTCAAAAGTGATAAATATAACGTAATATTCTCTTCAAATCTGTAACAAGTGATTGCTAATTCCAATATCACAAGTGTGAATGCTAACAGTTATAAAAATATTGGAATGTATTTAATAAAATCAATACCAGCAGATCAAACACTCTTCATCACCTGTTAACCACAAATATTCTCACAATCTTGGGACAATGGGATACGATATGCAGCACTTGCAGGTTCATGATTAATCAGAGCTTTTGCAATAAACAATATGACACTGGGCACGCCTAATGTTTACAAATGCATCTACAACTTAATACATTGTTTACTATTACTTTACAATTAATAGACAAAGATGTAGTTTATTCTAAGGTTTTAATGAACTCAAATCATGTAAAAAACTTATCTTTATGCACAGGTGTATTTTATTGTTTTTTTTATATAAATAATTTTTTTCTTAACCTTTTAAGAAATAGTAAAACCTACCGTACTTGCTTAGAAATGATAAAATGTTACAAAGACCTGTTGTTATCTGCCATGACATGAGATGATGATTTAAATTTACAGTATGTTTACATGCATTATTAAAATCATTATTGCTACTGTCCTATTTTTCATTGATTTTCTAACACCAAGAGAAAAGTGTGAATACACTGCAAATCTTAATACCAACAATTTTATTATCATTTTTATTATTATTAATTTTTTTCCAGATTACTCTATAGAAACCACTTCTAAAAACAATTAAATATATTTTAAACTTTAATTAAAATTGATTGAATCTACATGTGGTTAGAAGTTGAGCACCTCAACCACTATACCACTACAACTCCCAATTCTCTTCCTTTAATATAAAACTTACTGTTTCATACTGTTGCTGCTCGGTGCGCCCGTACGTTGAACACAACACAGTTGTATCGCTATCAACGATAGACTTGACATCAACGTTGTAATCTGAGAGGCAGTCACTATTTACAGTAACTTTGTATTCCCAAACTGAGTAGGAAATGCCGTCACTAGAACGCAACAATGTCATACTACCTGGACGAGCTGAATCTCCCATCTGAATACTAACATACTCAACAAGGTAACTCTAAAAAGACAGAAAATAATAGTTCAATTTACAATTTTAATCATATGTAATATAATTTCCAAAACCAGATAATAATATTAATAATAATATGAATACTTATATAGTTCACAATCCCCTCAAAGAAAGAGCATGCTCACGGCCATATGTTTCTTAATTCATATCATTGCTTTCGCCTTTCATCGACAATTATTTTAAAGTTTGCACTTACAGTATTTTAATTGCATCTGCCTTCATTTTTTGTTTCCCCTATTTATATGTATCATTTTTTAGTGTACCTCTACATATCAACTCCACTGGAAGTGTTACGTCCAATTAAAATATTGTTGAAATAAGAAATAAAAAAAATAAATAATTTTTAGTTTTTACAAATTTGTTGTCCACTTTCAGTTTGTTAGAAAACTGTGAATGTTTTCCCCCTCCGCAATGATTATACCATGGATACATAATAAAGAGTAGGCCTACTAAACAACAAATAACAAAAAATATATTGAAGATAGTACAGTCACGTTATCTTTGTCTGTTTCTGCATTTCAGAGTGTATTAATATCATCAAAATGCAACATTTGTAAATTGTAATTCTTAATGAGAAATTATTACTATCATAATACATACAGTAGCATCCAGCCATACTAAATTTAAATAAAACAGATACAAAAAGAACAATGGTGGATTTTGGAATACAGTACATATATATTTTATAGTAAATACTGTATAGAAAAATTAGATACAAAATTATTGAATTAAATTAAATAATTTACCATTAAAAAATAAAAATTAACTACAATTATTAGTAAAAAAATAACTTAAGCATTATTTTCCAACAAATTAAATTAAATGTACAAAACAGAAAACAGGTAATTTGATATTGGATCAAGGCTGCATTATTCTGAAATATGAAACACACTGTGTATGCATATATTTAAAAAATCAATATGCAAGCAAAGTACAGTATTGTGTCAATTGAGTATTTTCATTTGTCTGTCATTGATCCGTAACAGATGTCTGGGGTGGAGCGCAAATTGACGCATCCAGTCACCGTCACCAAAACTGCTAACGTCTCAGCGTAATATTAAGTATCTCATTTAAAATTAAATGGATTAAGTGAAAAAGTTGTATAAAACATTAAACTCTGAATAAACCAAATAAAAATTAAAGATGTATTAAACATAATTGAGATATAAGTAGCACCATGTAACTAAATCAAAGACAGGCCTTTCTTGCATCACATCTAAGCTCCAGTTTGCTTTCTTGTTGTTGAAATTCTAATTTTCATTGTACTATATCTTTAGTTGCTAAATACTGCAGTATTGTGGGTAAATCACAATTGTAAAACACAAAAAATGAACTTGAAAAAATTAATTAATATTTGAAATGCTTATTTTGAAATTTAAAAAAATACATTTTCCTTACTACTGAATCAACAAATCTTTTGCATATAGTCCCTTTATAATTGATTAAAAAAAAAATGTTTTTTTACAGTAACAACATAAATCAGTAAAAACGGAAATTACACAAATCAATGGTGATGTTGGTAGTCTATGAATGAATACTTACCAAAAAAGTATTCAAGAAGTAGACGCTTAAATTTGTGTTTATATATTTTATAATTATAATATATAATACACAACTGAGGTTTTCAAGTGCATCATCAAAACAATGATTGAACACACTTGATGTAATCAGCGTAATCATAACAGAAAATCATTAAGTCTATGTCAAAAAACCCTGGTCCTCAAATTTTTAATTAAAACCCCAGTAAAAAGTGGAAAATTCAAAAAAGAATTAATAGGCCAAGTAACCATACATACCTCTAATAAATTTAAAGTAATTATTGTATCTGGGTTAATCAACCCCGCCTGCAGCAACATGTTTCTTGAGGTGCTCTGCCACCAGGTAAAGACATCCCCAGAAGTTGGATCATTCAGGTCCACCATCAGTTCTGGGGGATGAGCAAACGAAGAGTTGGATGCATCACAAAGAGATTCTACTCGTTGGGTTACCTGTCTTAACCCTTCACTTTGAGCATAATAAATTTCTGGCGGAGTTCCACACGTTATCATCGCCGAAATTGGTTTATTTACTGCAACATTTACAGCATTGGTTTGCCCATGCGACGAACAAATCAAGGAAGTTAATACAAGAAAAACGGTTGCTACAGACGCTCCGGCCATCTTTAGATTATGTACTCGATCACCATCGACACAGTGAATCGTCATTTATCTTGATAGAAGGAACAAACACACGGACACGGGCATAGAATTATTGCACTGCAATGCAACCTTAATTTATGAAAGATATCGTTTAAAAAAATGCTGAAATGCGACACACAGCCCTAAAATATACTTCCGTGTGATGTTGTTACTACGCGGCATCTGTTCGTATTATATTAATCATTGAGCCTGGCCGTTTGTCACGTTCACGGTTGAATGAGCCGTGATACGATCTTTTTTATTGTCATCCGTTTTTGACTCGTTTGACAATGGAATGGTTTTGGTTTGTTAGTAGTACAGGTATAGTGTGGCGCTAACCTCATTGTCACACAAAACCCATGGATTTTGGAGTATTAAAAGTTGTTTAATATTTAGGACAAATTTTCAAGAATCAAATGGCAAAAAGAAAACCTCCACTGCATCCTAAGCCATGAAAAATCTGAAAAAAAAAGACAAAAGAGCCGATTGGGTTTGAAACAACTAACTATGAATAGGCCTAAAACATAAATAAATTCAACTATTGATCATTAATTTAGAACGATCAATTATGTTGTTTAACTTCAATGAAACACGGTTTGGGCCTATGCATAAAGGCAGAACAATTTAAGACTTCAGACATTTAGAAACATATGTTAAATTGAAAACAGCCAATACAAACAGTATTTCTGATACGTTTTTTCTTCTAATTTTCAATAGAAAGTTATTTTTTCTTTTTATTTTCATTCGCAGCGGAGGTTAAAGTCATGGATGTAGAAACAAATTCAATTCATTTCATCTCATTTTCAAAATTTGTTTATGCAAACTTTTTTCGCATCCGATGTTTGCAACGAGTAATGTGATTTTAGATTTTTGCATCAAATTTTCTTGTACCTGTACTTAAAATCAATAGGCAAAATTGGACTGGACACGTGTTGCTGGGCCGACACTGTCGGTGTCGGACGTCAAAAAAAACAAAAAACAAAAAAAACAATCCATCTCAGCTCTACTCACATAAGTACGAGCGCTTTACGTCGTTGTTGGAAACCCGTCGCGCGCCTCGCACGTCGCGGTCTCCATGGTGGTAGTATATAGACAACGATATAAACGCGCACGCGTTCAACCAATCCATATCCATGGAAACCTTTGCTGTTCCGTGTTATCGACCGGTGTTTAGGCCAAACTTAGAAGCTTGAAATAAAATCAAAATGAGGTTTACCAATGAAAATAAAGATTTATTTGATAAACTTGACGCAAAGAAGTCAAAATTCATCAAGTTCAGAAAAAATGCATTTCGTAAGACATGTAAGCTGGAAAGCTTGTTTTATGCGTCTATATTCGGCGAACAGGATGAAGACAACATCAGTATTGTGTACAGGGGAAAAATTGACAGTGAAATAAACACCAACAAAAAAAGAAATTCAAGAGTAGGCCTACATCGAAATTGTTTACGCTCAGTAGAGGGTATTCCACATTTTTTCTTTTATGTACTTCCATCTATAGGCAATAATAAATTATTAAATACTAATCACTATTATGCTTTTGTTTATCAATTAAATTAGGTGAACAAACTCGGGCTGAGGTGAATGGAAACGATATTATTCTACAAGATGGTCCGTTCTCATCGATACCTAAGAAGTTAACTGGTACAAAAAACCAAGCCGACCAAGAATTAGTCACATATATAAGTTGTAGGCTTGTACCCAAACGTTATGATACAAATCTGCTACATTACGGCATATGTTTACTAATAGTTTTCTTGATGTTTGCTTATTTGTTGACGTTGATTATTAACAATATTTGTTCTATACTCCTATCACATGATTGTCTTGTTTAATAAATGTGTTATTTAAAAAAAAAAAAAGGTTTTGAGACATTTCGATTTTACTTGATATCTAAGCCTATAATAAATAACTAAGAAAATATAGGTGCATCTAACTTTACAGGCCTGTAGGCAGGAAGGTACAGAGGGTACGGAGGAAACAGATGTAAAGGACATAAAAAGTACAACTTTAGATCCCTTACAACACCCAAATGAATAAAAATTTAAATACAGCAGAATAGAAATATATTTATAAGATGCTCAAAATGCTAATTTGTTGAAGCTTTCAGGGACTTTCCCCCCATTGGGGCCAGGCTCCCCCACACTAAGGTCCGCTTCACTCGCAAAACGCACCACCCCAGAGAAAAGTCTGCCTACGGGCCTGCTTAATTAATTATTTTGGAAAAGTGACAGAGTAAATAATACTAATTTTTATGATGACTATTATATTCTGAAATATAACAGTGATCTCACATTTGTTCAAAAATCTATTTATCAGTCAATAAATTCGTATCTCACTGAAGTTGATTTATTTATAATACTGTAATTATTATATAATATACTGTAATAGGTTTCAGAGTCTTACCAAATTTCAATGATGATTGAATTATGATTTACTTCCTACAAGATATACCGTAAAAATGCATAGGCTGTGGTATGAACGTTTCAATGGAAGATGTTATAGTGCCATGCCATGCAAAAACTTCAGATTTATAAACAAAGAATAAACTGTAAATCGTTTGATATTTCATAAAATTTATTGTAAAATGGGATGATACCCAATGATTTCAATGCTATGATTGATATATTCTACTTCTTACTATTGCACAGTGATCCCAATAAATTCAAAACCTTAAAATAGAAAGCAATTTATTAACCAATTATTCTATAACAATTCAAGTATACATCTTAAAATATAGTAACTACAATAGACCGGACCCTTACTTACGTCATTAACACTTGACCCACTATGCGTGTCAGTAGAATACAATTATACATTATGTGTAGCAAGCTAAACTCGTTGAGTACAGTATATTACTGTACTACAAACTGCATTTCACGACATAATAAGCATTTAGTTTATTATCTCAACTGATCTCTAATGTTCAATTTTATGTCTACACAATCTCAAATCGCTTTTATTACAATAAAAGTTGTATATGTTCCCATCATAAATAATGCATATATTTGTATATCTACTTTACTTTTGTACTAATTCCTAATATATGCACTCATACACAAAACCTCGACTTCATACCATAGCAAATAATTGATAGTAAACAATGTATAAGCAACTTTCGAAGCTGATGCTAATTACACTAAATATAATTTAAATGTAAGAAAAAGATAAGACAAACGTTATTGTCTAAATAATATATCCAAAAGAATCAATTCAAATGTTTATAAAATGACAAGGGTAGTAAATATAAGGTGATTCAGAAAATTACTGTCTCAAAACTAACACTAACAGATGAAACAAAACCCAGAGCAAACATTAACCTTAAAACATACTTGCTACTATGTTTGCATGCCTATATATTTTATACCATTAGTATTGAGTGTACTTCAAGGAACTACTGTATATTTCATAGCTGTATATTATACCATTGTGACAATAATGGTTCATCGTATCGTGTAGTGATGATTGTAAGCCTTTTTCATTCTTTCAGTGTGTCTGACATCAATAATCAAAGCAGAACTAATAGCTGCATTTTAATTTTTTGGGAAAAATATGTTTTTTTTCAAGAAGCCTGAATTGAAATGGGCATTTTTAGCCTGAATTGAAAAGGCTACTGTTAAGATTTCAATTATACTGATACCTTTACCAGCAAAAATTAAAGTGGTTAGCCACTCGCTTACTTAAGATTCACCCACCAGCTGATTGTCAATTGTTACTGTTCTTAGGATTACAACAATTCTGGGAGGCTAATTAAAAATGCACAGATGCCCATATACATTTTGGAAAAATTATAAGAACGTCTAAAATTTGTTATAATGAAAATAAATACTGCACAGTGAATTGTGTTTAGAATTATTACTGTTATTCAGAGACAAAAACCAATCAATTACTCTATATATTTATGTAAAATAATTACTTTGGTTTGCAGCTTCCCATAATTCCTTCAAAATAAACATATCTCAATAAAAAACATAAAATAAACAATGCTTGTTTAAGGAATGCTACTTCCACAAAATGTTGATCTTTATAGAATAAATTACAACATTTTGATTTGATATAATAATTACAAAATTTCACATCAAAATATTCTTGGCAAGATAGCAGAATTTAGATGTTTAATGCTATAAAAATTGCAACTTTCTTTGAGTGAATTATAATACCTGTGATCATGAGTGTGATCATTATGCCCATATATGGGCATATCAGGGGCATTCATCACATTAAACTTGATAGTGTCGTTAGAGCTGAGTATTTAATTTTATACTAAAATCCTTTTCTTTTAGGATTAAATGAACATAATAATAATAATAATAATAATACTTTTATAAGGTCCCTATGATTAAAGTGTATATTTTGAGTTTTATAAACTGGTTTATACACATTTAAATTCTGTTCTTTTTTTCAACTTTGTACAAATTTTTATTACTAATTTCTTGTATTCATACTGGCTAAAATGCATATAAAACAAACCAAATGAGTTGAATCTTAATCATAATTATTAGTACTAATCTAACTAGTCTAATTGCTCAGTTTTTTATCTAAATAAATTTGACATTATTGTAAATTTGTTCATTTACACCACTTGAAAATGTAAACATGCTTATTATTTCATACATGCAATTGGATGTGATGCACCTGCTGATTATTACTACAACATGAACATGTGGGAAATATATCCTATTATTATTTATTTTATTTAAATTTTAAAAAATAGTAAAAGTAAATTATTCATTCTTCTTCTCTTCTATGGGTTTAGTTTCTGGTACACACTCAACGAGATGGCAGACCTCATCCATTGGGCCTAGGCTGTCATACAGCTTGAAGTTAGCGGCAGTTTGAGCCATTGCTGTAGGCCAGACCTTGCCTGGTTCAGGCTTCTTCAGCTCCCTGCCTAGTGGGTCACATGTCCCTTCTGCTTCGTTCTTTGTGGCTTTCTCTATACTTTCTTTGGCACTTGCCATTGCTGCTTGGTCTAGTTTCTGAAGACGGTAAAAAGTGTGTATTTATTATACTAATATTAAATCTATTATTGTTTAGAAAATTAAATTCTGATTTAGCTATGTACCTATCTTTTTATAAACTTTTCTAGCTTTATAAAATTACGCTTGCACACCTCATCGGGGCAACTCAGGTTATGAAGAATAAAAAAGAAATGAACAAAATTATGACAATAATAGCTAACAAGTACAATCATCAATTATAATGAAAACGTCTACTAGGCACATTGTAAGAGTAAAATTTAATAGCAATTGCTTTTACATGATTGATTGATTTAATTGATTAATTGATTGACATACATATTTGGCTTAATTTTCTACACTGAATACAAATTAATCACAGGCAGACTTATTGTACGTATGATCTTCCTATTTTATGCAACTTCTACATACCATCATTCCTGATGATGACATAATTAATGTCGAAATATTGAATCCCAACACGATGGCGTGTATTTCAATACTTGGAGTATGTATTATTCTACATACCAGTACTGGATTTTGCTAAGCTTCAAAATGTTTACAACAAAAGTTCAAATCAGATTATATTTGTATGATCCAATTAATGATGTTGTATAGTTGTTACCTTTAATGCTTCCCGTCTGTTGAACTCCAGTTTAGCCATCTGTAGGGAGACCCAGTGTGGAATATCGGGGATCGCGTAAGCTATGGCAAACTTACACGCTAGAGTGACATGCTACCGAAAAATTTGTAGATAAGAATTAGAACAATTTTGAATGACAAGAAAAAGAATACAAACCAAATGTTAATGACTTTGGTTTGGAGTGGGCCGTAATATGGTGTTTAAGATGTTTGCTTTCCACTCCCTGTGTCCAGGGGAGTGAACTGTAGTGTGTTCTACTAGTTGTAAACTTGCTTTCCTTCCATTCCCTGTGTCCAGGGGAGTCAGTTGTAGTGTGTTCCACCAGTTGTAAACTTGCTTGCCTTCCATTCCCTGTGTCTAGGGGAGTCAGTTTTAGTGTGTTCCACCAGTCGTAAACTTGCTTGCCTTCCATTCCCTGTGTCCGGGGGAGTCAGTTTTAGTGTGTTCCACCAGTTGTAAACTTGCTTGCCTTCTATTCCCTGTGTCCAAGGGAGTCAGTTGTAGTGTGTTCCACCAGTTGTAAACTTGCTTTTCTTCCATTCCCTGTATGTCCAAGGGAGTCAGTTGTAGTGTGTTCAACCAGTTGTAAACTTGCTTTTCTTCCATTCCCTGTGTCCAGGAGAGTCAGTTTTAGTGTGTTCAACCAGTTGTAAACTTGCTTGCTTTCCATTCCCTGTGCCTAGGGGAGTCAGTTGTAGTTTGGTGCTGACCTTACAATAGTAGTGTCCAGCTTAGATGTGGTTGAGATGCTTACTTTCTATAGCTAGTATTCTTGACAATACCAATTCCATAAATATTGTTTTCTAACCTAGAGCTCCACTCCAGAGAGATAAGTATTAAATAGCCTGGGTTCCAGACAATAATTTTGGTTACTCAGTGAATTCTCTAAAATACAATTCTCAGTTAACTGCATGTAATACCAAAATTAACTGGCGTCCATATTTTTTTTGTTTTTTTCTTAAGGCATATATAATAATTTGAACTGCACCTCAATTATGAGCACTCACCTCAAGGACTACTATGAAAATGATGACAGTAGAGGTGCTGCTGCCAGGAAATGCACGCTGAATCTGACCAGATATTCCAAGAAGGCCAAAGTTCACAATAACACCAATCACTCCCATCAATTCCATTGCATCCTACCACGTGAATAAATAAATAAATATATCAATCAATCAATTATAATTTCTACTAATATCAACTTTAATAACCATAAAAATATAATATTTCAGGCTCAAATTTCAAAAATTGACACTGTATCATTACAACGAAAGACAGTTGCAAAATATGAGAAGTATATTTTGCAAGAAACTTTACCAGAAATTGATTGAAATAATTTGTTGATCTTTCTTTTTAAAATTGTTCTATCACATTGACCTTTTTACTGTTTGCATTTTTTCACTTTGTAATATATGGACTTGTTCTGAAATAAAGTTAAATGATTGATATTTGAATCATGATCAGGCTGTCATTAGAGAGAACAAAACTGAAGGAACATCATTAACATACTTGCCAAGTTCCAATGTTTTCAACTCGCTGACCAAACGGTCTCTGTAAACTTGTGCATAACTTAAAGGCATCAGTGCGTATTTCCACGACATTGTTTATTAAGGCGCAGAGACCGGCTAACGGGAATGCAGATGAGAACAGGATAACATAACCAAACTGAATAAACATTTCAAGATAATCATCAAAAGTATCCTAAAAAAAGGAAATATTAGTATTAACTAAATTAAGTGACATTAGACATGCAAAAAACAAAGAGTATTATTTACAACAATTGACCATATTTGTTAACAAAAAATGACAGTAGATACCTAATATTGACCTAAAAAAAAAGATAGAGGAAAACTTAAGGCTGCTGAGCAGATCAGTAGCAGACTATTTTTTCCCTTAAGGCAAAGGTATTAAAAATATGAATTTACATTGCTTCATATAAAAAATGACCAAAAGCAATGTGTATTTTCACAAAAGGCTAGGTGTCAAACATATGGATTTAGAAGATAGTGGTAAGCATGCAAATATAAAAAATGGCTTCTTTTATCGAAGTCGCAAGCACTTTTTATAGACAACACTGTACCTCATAGGGGTGCATGCAACTCTCGACCTCAGCCTGTGTCAAGGTAAACAGCTTGGACTCATCTTTACTCAGACGATGAGATGCTGATTTTTTCCTGGCATTTAAAAGTTCTGAATGTTCCTCTGTAATGAAAACATTTGTAAAAACATTTTTGAAATATCACAACATACTACATTATATTTATACATGATCACCATCAAAACTTCTATACAATCGAAGACAAGAATGCATTGCACAGCACAATGAAATGCTGAATAGGGCCCAATGGTTTAACCTCAACACATAAAGATTAGTTTCCTGAAAATCGCTACACTAAGGATATTATTCTAGGTGTGCCCCAAGGATCTATTCTTGGCCGACTTCTTTTTATTATTTATGTTTAAAATTCTCTACCAGAAATTGTTACTCCTGATTCAAAATGTGCAATGGCACAAATGTTCTCTGTTCTGCCTCTGATCCTACTGAATTACAATCTTTCAATGATAAAAATGTTACCAACATATCAAACTGGTTTAAACAAGTTAATAATTAATGTTAAGAAAAACAAATTCATGTTATTTAATTCCAAATGTAACCTTCCAAAATTCTGCAATATTTCACTGTCAATTAATGGTAACACTGTGTAGATAGAGTAGATAATTTTAAGTACAGTAGGAATTACTTTTGATACTTTCTTTACGTAGGATAAACATATTGAGAATTTCTATTCTGAAATTTCTCAGCGTATTGGTGTTATCCTTAGATTAGGAGGGTTTTTCCAAATTGTTCACTTAAACTCCTGGCAAATGCTTTAGTTTTACCATTTTTGACTATTATATGGTCCAACTGTACAATAGCTCATCTCAACACACTTCAGGCTTTACTAAACAGACTTGCCAGAACAATTCTGGATGCAGATATTGCGACCTTAATCACTTAAGTATGAAATCTCTTTTAATGTAGTTATTTATGTTTGTGTAAAAAACATCTTTTCAATTGACTTGATAGCAGTAGGATTGGAAGCATCTTAACCACTCTGTTAGCTCCATGATGAAAATAATGTTTTTTCATTTTATTGAAATCATCTTATAACCGTAGTGGTTAGCTTGGTTTTTAAGCTATATAATGCATACTGTAATTAGTTTTCTATTATTATTATTCTTAAAGTATTGTTCTATAACAATAATGTCATCAAACATTAGTAGAAACAAATGTATTTTACTTAATCTCCCATGTCTTACGTGTATGCACACCAGGCTCATATTTTATGTCAATTTGGTCTTCACCTTCATTCAGAACATTCTCGTTATCATCACTGTCATCATCAAGGTCAATATTCTCTTCCGCCATTTTGTAGGTCATGCGATACATCTTGATCTTCTCCATTAAGTATGGCAACATGGCTTCCTTGGCATTGCCAATGATTTGCTTAGTGATAAACAAAGTGGCAAGGGTCTGCAGGAAAATAACAAAATCTTGTGTCAGCAGAGACAACATGAATGAATCGGTTTTGTGTGCCGAAAAAAAAAACAGAACTGATAAAAAAAAATTCTTAAGAACATGAAAGTGCAACTGCTCTGCAGATAAAAAAAACACCCTTAAGAACATGATAGTTAAAATATCTATTCAAGGTAAGAGAGCTGTTCAAAGCAGTATATTAATTTTTTATTGTCGTGATGGAATAGACAGTAACTAGATTTTGTCTATTCGTTCATGAAAATAACAATACTATCAACATTGCAGTACCCGCTGCTTACTTGAACTCGAAATCAACCCTGGCCATCAGGTGCAAGCTCGGTGGTCTAGAGGTATGATGCCAGGCTAGTGATCTGGAGATCGTGGGTTTAAGTCCCACCCGAGAACAACTTGCGAATTTTTTTCGCAATTGTGTTCACTTTTACTGAGTATTCAGTACATTTCCACGCCAGGTAGGGCAAAATTACACCTACAAAGGAATATATTAAAGTAAAATGAAAAGGAAATGTTGATAATGAAATGATTTATTTAATACTAGGAAACTTACTGCTCGGAGTCTTGCCATGTCTTGTAAATAAAAGGCCACATAAAATAATGACAGAAAATTATTGATAAATTGCACCTGAAACAAAAATAAGAGTTTAGTTATTTTTTTAACAACAAATGTTAATAAAAAATGAAACCAATCTGCAAGAGCCAATATTTTTTTTATTAACATTGACAAATACATAACTCATCAATTACAGGAAATGATGGTGTATTTAAACTATTGTCTGATTATTAGTCATGCAAAACAAATCAAAGTATCTGAATCAAGGAGTAAGCTGACCCCGATTCTCTAGTTTATTTTACCTCCTCTCAAGGAAGTATTTGAACATTGAGCTACTTGGTGCCTGTTACATTAGTCACGGACCATGCCTGTACACAATTCAGCCTGACCACTGCATTTTGTGGGTTATTTTCAGCTTTTAAACATTCTACCTTTAAACCATCACATATTTACTGTACTTCCATTTAACAAAATAATATTAATACAATGAACATTCCATTTATGACTTATAATACATACCACAACAAGTTTGATGATAAGGTGGTTTTCATAAGTTTCTTGAAGTCGGTAGTTTTCCATATCATTCAACCACTTTGCAATTTTCTTATATACGTCTTCGGTTATGTTAATACAAATTCCTAATAACACTTTTGGTAAAAGGCTTATCCAGCTGATATGAGACAAAAATAAGAAAAAATTTATGTCTAATTCACTAAAGGCAAATATGTTAGGTTGTGATGTGGAAAAACAAAAAAACAGTTACTATACCAAACTTTCAAATGTTGATTATCAAGTGTAAAAAAACACAATGTGAAAAGCCAACTATTCCCAAATGTCTCCAAGGAATGAGGAGACGCATATGGGCCAGGGGTGGTGCCAGAAAAACCACAATTCGTTGGGAAGGAAAAAAAAATTATATGTATTTTCTATATATCAATAGACTATCTATCTATAAAAACTGATTAAATAAGCCTTTGAAACCCCTAAATTGTCATATTTTTTAGGGGCCTCGCCCCATGGACCACTTTTGAAACATCTTGAGTGACAGCCGACAACAACAATTTTTCTCTCATCATGGACATCAGCCCCCACATCCTGGCGCCACCCCTGATTTGGGAATTGGTAGTTTAGGAGCAACATACTTTACCAGGATAACCCAACTTTGCCAAATGTCTCTTAGGAATGAGGAGATGAATATGGGGTGCCGGGATGGAGGGTTTTATTTTCTTTGTGGGCGGGTGTCCATTTAGCAACATTTGACAATAATTGGTTTATCTAACTTAAGTACTCATACAATAGACATAACAATCTCAGTTTTATCAGTTGCAAAATATATACTTTAAAATATAAAAAACTCTGTGCATTTAGTATTAAGAAATGAAAAGCAAATACCTTGGAAATTGTTCTTCTTGAATTTTTTTATTTACATATTCTTGCAGCTCAAATAATGAAAGCATCGATAGAAAGACGACAATAATGCACAGGATAATAACAGGCAACGTCACAAAATAATGAAAGAGGTTACGTTTCCAGGCAGGGTAGTAGGGAGTCAGCTTGCCAGATATTGGACTCTCAATCAAATCACCCTAACAACAAAGAGTAGGTTATCTTTAATTATAATAAACTATGTTTGTCCTAATATGGTATGATTAGAAAAATGTTCTATTTAAGTACAACAGGAAAAATGCTAAACTCATGCATTAGGCCAAGTAAAAAAAAATAATTTGTTAGCATCCTTTTGGTATCAAATTTCATGGTAGTTTTAAGTTTGTGTTTGCTGGACATTAATTATAACTGGACCATACTGGGTTTGTTGTTGGAACAACACAACAGTCATCATTGATGCCATGCATGGGTTTCGCCAGAAAAACAAAATAGACGGCCTATTTTGTTTTTCCAAAATTGAAGCCAGTGGGCGTGGCACTGAGCCGATGGCGGGCCATGCCCATCGTTAGTAATCCCCATCGATTATTGGTACGAAAACATAGATTCAATCAATAAATGTTGTTTTTATCAAACGTAAATATGATTTACCTCTAGTTTATTGTAACATTCGATAGATTTGAAGAATATATAAAGAATTTGCTAAAGGTAGACCAGGCCCAAAGGCTAGGCCGAGCTGATTAGGCCAAGCCGTCACGGTAAAAGTTGCCGTCCTAAATAATTGTAGGCAGTCCAAAAGACGGCCGGACGGCTCGCTCGCTAATATACGCATGCACTATCTTGCCACTATTTCCAGTAATAAATTTATCTATGCTGTCCTACCTATGAAATAGCGTGAAATATTTGTGTTATTTAGTTTATATTTAAAATTTTATTTCGTGAAATATTGCACACAGGTAAGAAGTGAACATGCCACAATTTTAAACTGATGGGCGCAGCCATGTTTGTTGTCTTGTCTCCGGTCACCACAGAGCGGTTCCTCCTTGTTTCTCTTTCGCGCTGTGGATGTCTACTTCCAAAGTGATGGAAATACCAACACGCTGATTGGCCGACTTGGCTTTTTTGCACAAAGCATGAGACGTAAGCATCGGATCGGAGTTTGCTAATATAAACCTAATCCCGAGTAAATCTTAATGCTTTGCATCGGCTGTACCATGTATACAAATACACTCTTTTTATACTACTACTATAAAACTAGGCCTTTTCTAGATAGAAGCAAGGACTAGGCTAGCCTAGGCCTAGACGGGACGATGATGGAATGGAACTGCAGGGATAAGCCCAGTCGGCTGGCGTTCGGACGGATGGTAAACAAGCCTAGGCCTATATAAATTGCCTGCGGGAGGAGTTTTTGAGTGTTTTGTAAAAAAAAAATAAAATAAATAAAATTCAGGTCGCGGGCTTTTCTGACGGTCGGGCGGGGATGCTAACTAATTGTTATATTTTACGTGGCCTTACTGAAAAGTATTTACAACTATTAAAAATTAGTTCCTTAGAAAAAATAGTTAATTTATCTATTCATATGATGCTGGATTTGTATTTATTAAGAGGAGTCTTACCGTGTACAGAGGTCGTGGGTCTGTTATGAGCTCATGCTTAGAGTCTAACGTACCCCACTGGTAGGCCAGCTCAGCACTTCGCCGCTTCCATGACTCTAGATAGAGTGTTCCCCAGATGATGTTGAACACACTAAATATCACAATGTGTTCATCATGATTTGCCTACAAAGTAAAATTAATAAGGCCCTTTCAAATTAGTTTACTTGATAATTACAGATACAATAAGTATATGACGAGAATGATTACATCATATCTAATAGTAAATACTGTGTATTCTCATGTATAAGACGAGGCCTAAAGTAGCAAATTACAAATTGTCTTATACGCCCGACATAAAACATTCCTCTCAACAATCTTCTCAAACTCAGGGTTCTTCTTATATGCGGAATGCCTTATATGCGAGTATAAACTCTATTCATTAATAGTTAAGTATTAATTATAATTAAAAAACAATGATACAGTATGATATATTTCAAGCATGTGATTTTTCTCTCTTAGCTTTCTTAGTTTTCTGTTGAGACAAGTTTTTAACTTCTTATTTTGATTCCGAAAACAGTTGTTTATATTATACATATAAAATCATCATCAGTACATTGTTGAAATATTCTATTTTTGAAGTTCTTACTGAATAGCATATATGACAGGAAAGAAGAAATTATGTGATATTTAGAACTTTTATCAACATACTTCATCAATACCCTGTGTAATCCATAAGAATGTGCCTAATATAGCTGGCAGCATGAGGGCAGTTGTGTAGCGTCCAAGCCAAGCAAAGTACATAGCTATCTTAACACCAAAATAATCATTGATTTCATCTGTAAAAATATAATAATAGTTATAGTCACTAATGCTGAGAGAGCAGACAGATTGGCCAAGTACCCTGTATCTTTAGGACAAAACCTAAAAGATTTTTACTATAATGTGATAAAGAAATTTCATCTATTTTGGACATTTATACATGATCATATAAATTAGCTTCATGGGGATTTTACTCAGACCAGAGCTTTTAACAAGGCACTTCCCCTTGATCCTTCTGGGGGCTTCATGTGATCTACAGATACCTTACAATGGCTGCGCTGTGTGCGACCCAGGCCCATAGGCTCTGTTTATAGTAACTACCATTTAATATTGATTGACTGATTGATTGTTTGATTGTACTCTATAGTCTATTTATTTTTTATTTATTTATTTATTTTTATTTTTGTCTGATTTCACCTTCAGTGACGTAGCACTGGTATCAGAAGTTGATTACAAGTAAAAAGAAAAAACACAAAACCAAAATGAAAAAAGAAATTGAACTTAAAACAAAACTAATGAGTTAAAGAAAAAGAATATGTACATAAATATAAAACTACCGCATCGAAAACAAAATTGCTTAAAGTCTACCCTTACCTAAGGGTTGCTTCTTGAACACTGCCTGGACCCATGTCTGCCGGAGTCTTGCTAAGTTATCATTATTATGGAGTGGGAACACTTGCGATATTATCCCCTTAGATAATAGTACTGATACTGAAAAGAGACACAAAGGGGTAGGAGTGATATTAAAGTAAACTGCTGAGAAGTAAATAATGAATGAAAATAAAAACAAAAACTCTCCCAGTCTATAAAAAACAACACAAGTAGTATGTCTTATTCTGTAAAACACAACAGTTACTCTTCTTCTGTAACACCACATATAAAGTACAACAGAATATTTGAACAATTTGAAATTTATTAACTGTCCCTTTAATGATGCATTCTACATTTCAAACTTGATTTGAGTATATCCTACTGAACTACTTTTCTCTTTAAAGGTGTGCCATTTAAAGAGCAGAGTGCAAGGGCAAAGTAGCATTCACAATGCAGCATTATCTGCTTCTATTTATGATATACATCATGGTCAACACTATCACAATCATTATAAATTAGTTTGATTTTCACAATATAGAATCACCATAGCAACATGAATTTGGTCTTTGTAACTTATCAAATTAATTGAGGGTGAAATAAGCTGTAGTTGATTACGTATTAACTTAATTTCTAAATTTAGAATATTGGAATAGAAAAGAAATGCTAGCATCTGTAGTAATCCAACACTGTACACCTTACACTGTACAATTTTACATTTATTAACTTTGAACAACATACCTATAGGTTGCCCATCGTGGAATGTAATTTTACCAAGACTCTCGTTCTCACCAGCTCGTAAATTTTGAAGCATATTCATTACTATTGCTTGTCTTTCCTTCAAAGTTAGAGATAGAAAATACACATTCACATGTAGTACCAACAATATGCAAGTTGACCATTATTATCATACTGCATTATAAATAGAAAAAAGTTATGCTTTATAGTATAAATGTGAAGACCAAGGGCACAAAACCATGTATTGACTAGAAATGCTTCTTTTTGAACACTCCTACTCCAAGCCTGGAATTGTTATTCAGTGGACAGAGATACAAACAAATAATTATAATGTTCCCTCCCTCACAATTTAAGACTCTTGCAAGGGTATAACTTCAGCATGCTCCCTACGTACACCTCCCTTCTCCACACCTCAACAAAGGGTAAGATTTCGACATGTACTCCTACTTACCCATGCTCCACAAGATAACACTCACCTGTGAACGTAAGAATTCAGCTTGGTTGTCAACACCGTCAAAGATGCCTTGCTCTGCACATGTGAACTCTTTCAAACCTCCACCATATTCCTCTTTAATCGGTTTGCGAAGGGCAAGATTCTCTGCACCCTTCAATAGACTATGAATTAAAATTAATTGAATTCAATTATAGAAATACATTGGATATTGTATCACAAAATGAAGAAAAAAACAAAGCAGTTTTTAAAACCACCTGTTGTTTTGCTGCAAAAATAAAGATTAGGCAAAAAAATTGTGTGTTTTAGCCAAGCACACTGAGATTTAGAAATCAGAGTCCATCTTGATAAAAAAAAATATTTGAAAAATATATTTTTCCAAAAAGCAAGTTAGCACCAGATTTTCAGGATCTTGGGTTGGTCAGGATTGGAAAACGTAATGTTTTTATTATTTTGCCAATGATGATTCATATTTCAAACACATCAAGATCAGGAGCAATCATGTTCCCATTGATCAAACAATATCTAATTACCATGACAACATTATTCTTAAATTACAAAAAATGTTATAAGGCCCACATTCATGCTACTTTTATGTTAAAAACCAACTATCCCTGTCACTGGCTGACATGACAATTCAGCATGTGTTATATCCTAGACATACTGTATACTGACAGGTTATATTCAATTGCACATTGTGAAATTTTAAAACCTACTATAAAATCAGACGAGATGGTACTAAAATCAACTATTGATAGAACTACAGTAATTTGACATGCAGTAAAACAAACAAATTCAGACCTGCCAAGTGTTCCGCGTTTAGTGTGAAAGTCACAGAAAAAATGTTTTCCCATGGTCCCGCCTACATTTGTAAAATGTAGTTAAAAGTCAGACATGTTTTACTGCATAAGCTAATGCATGCAACAAGAGTGAAATATACTCTGTAGAGTATTCTAAAAAATAAATATACTACATGAAAGCAATTGCCTAAGATTGTACAGTATGTCCCTCGCATCTGTAGTGTTTAAATATGCATTTTAAATGGCCATCTAGGATTTGAGGTGCCATTCTAAAAATGTTCTCACTTCACTCACAACCATGGTGTGTCTGTCTGAGGTAGTCTGAACTTCCCCTCTGTAAAGTGTCCCACATATTTTGTGCATAATCTTGGTAGGTCTGAAAAATTTTGTGTTTCTTTAGTTTTTGCTCTTATGTATTCAATAATATTATTTAAACAAAATCACTAAACTAAAACATTACACAGACTCACTTTTCATAGTTAGATGACAGATAGAAGCCATGCACCCCAGTGTTCCCATGATGCCTCACTTGTACGATTATCTCGGGGGTACGAGCACGTAGACGAGACAGCAGCCACATTAATGTGTCATCTTGGGTTTTCTCAGGGAATGCTATTAGTACGTCGCAGTCTCGTGTTGGGATTGTATGCATCCATAAGCGATTAGCATAGACAAATTTACTTGTTTTCGCAAACTTTTTTCCGAATATTTTAGCTGTACATTGGAACAAAATGGGTAGACATTAGCAATACTTAGACATACCTTTTGGCATTACACTAAACTTGAAGCCTATTTACAGTTCTATTTAAGATGAGCCACACTGTTAAAGATAAATGGAAGAATTACAAGAAACTGGTAAAGAGAAATTAGCTTTACTCAACATCACAGTCTTAATATCAGTCAGGGTTGTGAAGACAGAGAGCAGGCTTGGATAAATCAGGTGAGATTTTTCCACCCAAATTCACCATTGACATTATCATTGACATTATATATAGCTTGTTTTAATTTAAATCAAATAAAACATAACTTTTGACTGTGAAAATATTTTTCATTTGGTATACTTTGGAAACTGCTAACCAGACTCAGATCCAAACAATTTAGTTATTGCAAATATTTTTTTCTTTGTAAAAAATGGGGTCTATGAAAAGAATATAAGGATCGCAATATGGTTGTTAACTGTTAAGAAAACATATTTTGTTATAATTTTCAATTGAATTCTAAAGTAAACTTTTAACTAAATATGCAAAGTAAGCACTCAAAAAAATTGCACTCAAAAAGAATACTGTTTTAGCTTGTAAAAACATTATATTTTGAGGTTATGCAATTATCATATTTGTATCAACAGTTATCTCATTAGCGTGTTTCAGTTTATAATTAGAACATGGTCAATGCCATCTATTGACACGAATATCAGTCTGTATTAAATTGCTGAGCACCTAGAATATCACTATTTTCCAAGGTACCTATAACCTTTGACATTTGCAAAAAATGAATTGTGTATCATCTACCAATTGAATATACTTGCTGGAATCTCCCAAAATGAACTAAGAATCATAAACTAGGAGCGCCAAGTTCCCTCACAGCTGAAGTTAAAAAAAAAGATGATAAAAATGGTTTAGATGAGGGTTGACGATGCTTAATACAGAAAAGCATTCCCTTGTTACCCTCAACTCATTAAACCCAACAATCGGCTGTGAAGGACTGCCACTACACCTCCTACAGTTCCGTGATAATCAACATGATGATCTTAGGAACTCAAGATGATGAAGATGAAGATGGACTGATATAAAAAGGAAGGGAACAAGACTTCTAAATAACAACACAATGCCTTCTACCCCACACCTTGTATCCCACAATTAGTACCATTTTTATATCCCCCTTATAAACCCGCACTTCAATAAAACCTTGAGATCTAATTAATCATAAGGTTGAAAAAACACAACTAGATTTATGACTCAAATTAGCAACTGATTTATTATTAGCAAAATAAAAAGATCATAAAATGTAGAATTCGACATCAAAGACAATAACAATAACTTATGAGAGTTTGGCAGCAGAAACGATAAAATGGATTTGTTTGCTCGTCATGGTTTCATGTTTAGGTTACGGCTTTTAATAAAATCATATACCGTATTAATTTCTATAGCATAAAATAAATATCAATTATGGTTAACTTACTGTTTTGTTAAGTCTCACGACAATGCTTTCAATTAATTGCCATCAATAAAGATTAATAATTGGTCTGCAACAAATGAGGATGAATGGTTTGCTATTTTGAAGGGATGTTCAAGTTAATGAACAATCAAAATAGTTAGTTTATCCAAGTAAATATTCATGAATTAGCCTTTATTATTATTAATATTATCCATATTTATTATTATTATTTAAAAAAGACAAAAATAATAATACTACATGACTGATTATTATTAGTATCAAAATAATAATTATAATAACAACAACAATAATAATAATTATTATAATAATAATGTAAAATATAATTGACAAGGCCTGAAGGAAATTTTTGAATGCATTAAATCTAACCTAAGTATAATCATTTTCTGTTAATGTACGATGCATGCTCTACTATGACATGTCGACAAGGACGCGAAGCCCTGCCCACAAAGTCACGAAAACCTAGACTTACCGAGTTGGCAAACATTTTCTTTGCTATGAACCTTCTTTAAGAAAGAGAATTCAGGCTAGGCAGTATGGAAATGAATCAAATATATTCATAGTGTTAATCTATTTCATGGAACAGGCAGGGAAATTGTTGTAAATGCCTCTGTATTTCGCTCCCAAAGGAAGAGGGAAAAGCCGCATTCAGCCAACCTCGTTGTCGGCAAAGGCCAAGTCACTGATGCGCACTGCTCGTGTAAATCTGGGTATCTATAACCAGGCATAGACATCTAGGCCTAGGCTCACGTATATTTCGCGTTGACAACCAGCTGTCTAAGGAAATTAAAATGTCAGAGAAAAAGGAAGAGGGGGGCTGGGGAGCTATAGCCCCCCCCTGTCGAGGAAGCATAGCCCCCCCCCGTCGGAGAAGACGATAAGTTTTGTCGGGAAACAACCAAAAAAAAAAAAAAATATTTACATGTAATATTTGTTTAGCCACCATATTGTTTGTGTTAACTTTTCATAACAACAGTAACAATAACAATAATAATAATATTAATAATAATAATAATAATAATACAATGAGACTAATTAAAAATAATTTGCGTTCTGACAAATGCTCATTTAGATAGCCTCATGATGGTTGGAATACGTCGTGATAGGTGAAGCAACGTCCACCATGAAAGCGTGGTTGACAGATTTCATGCAAAATTTCCAAAAATATAGAATTTCACTTAATTAGATGGTTACATTGCATACTCTTTGTTTCTTGTTTCATTCAAAATGTTTTGGTTTTGGAAGCTGATTTCAACATTAGAAAGCATAGCCTACATGAAGTCATATTATAGTAACTCAATTCCTATCAAATAATTAATAAAAATTCGCCATAATTTATCAAATATAAGTGGCTTCCAGGGGGCGAGGCCCCCTGGACCCCAACTGGGGCCCTAGACGGCCCCCTGGCCCCCTACCCAAGTGAGGCTCGATTCGCCCCCACCCCCTGCACTGACCTTTTTGGTCAGTGCATGCAGAAAGGTAAAAATCGTGCGATGATTTCATAACTAGGCTACAGCCTAGTAGTAGGAGGAGGCCCCGGTGGCGTCCTGCCTGGCCGTAGGCCTACATCTAAATTTGTTCCTTGAGTCTTTAGAATAGGTCTAGAATATTCCTACTAAACATTCAGTTTGTTTTGTTGATGAGGGTCCACTGATTCAATGAATTCCCTAATTGTTCATACTTTAATATTGAATTTGAAGTAACTTTCTTCGGGTTCTAATTAAGCTTGATTTATGGAAGAAATTTTCAATTACAATTCAATTTTCATCGCGGTGCTTGATGTCTTCGTGGTGACGAAAAAATGAGGAATTTTTTTTGCACACGAACCTAAAAAAAATTCGAACCTAAAAAAATTCAACTAATTGAAAAATTATTGGACTGTGGGGGATAGGCAAATAACATTGGGAGTTGCAGTGATGACATCACGATTAATGCACAATATAATTGGTATTAATATACAATATAATTGGTATTAATGTACACTATAAAAATTATAATGTTATTATGAGACAGATACTTGGCTGATGAATTAGACAGCAGGGCATGGATCTGAATCACAATTGCAAATTTTGTTAAAAGCATCAAACCATTTATCAGCAATCGTGTTACATTCTAAAAAACCACGGCAATCAATAGAAGCTGTGCCGCTTAAACCAATAACAACTAAAATGGACAAGTACAACCAAGGAGTTATAATTGGAATATAGTATAGCTTAATGGTACAGTGTACTGTAAGCACATCATGTCTACCTAAAGGGACAGCGTATATTTTAACAGGATATTATACACCCAAACCAATTAAGTAAATATGGTTCAGGATGTTTACACTTCATTGGCATTGAATGATTAATAAGGAATATGTTATGATGTAAGATACAGTAAAGAGTGTCACCTAAATTTAAAAACAAGCCTTCATATTACATTTATGATTATAGAAATGGGATTGATGGCTTGTATCAGATCCACAGAAAGCAGGATGAGCTCTCAAAAATGAACAACAAAATATTAGCTGGAGTAGCTGGAGTAGCTTGTAACATATCTAAAGGAGAGGACAGTGACGGACATATTAGTCTTTTGCAAGATGGGACCACGTAAACAGGTTTACCTCTTCAAAATGAACAACGAAGTACGAGCAACAAGATTGACTGAATAGTTTGATATAGCTCTACTTGAAAGATATCTTGTGTCTTATGGAGTCATCAAGAAGTGATATTTAAATATAGCAAGATGGAAAGGTTGTTTCACAACAATTATGTGTTTAACTAATAATCTATTCTAACAATACTGTGTCCTTGACTATTCTACTCATTGGTTCAAAAGCTAACTTACTGTTGCACTGTAATTGCAAAAATAAAGTCTCCACCTTGTCTCCACCCTGAAAGAACTGGTATATTATCTAACTACTTCCCAGGAACAATGTCTTCAACATATCCTAAAGAGAATACACCGACAACTCAACTTTATTTGGCCTCTCACCCCACGGTGTTCCTTTGGCTTTAATTGGCTACTTACAGTCATAATTGCTTTATTATGCCCCATATTCCAAATGAAATAAATATACTGGCAAAGAAAAAGTATGTATCATTAGCAAAAACACTGAAATACTGCTTCTAGTTCCTGTGAAACATTCAATTTCTGAGTAAATGTTACCACTATCAATAATTAATTTATTTGTTACTAATACTGTTAATCATTGATTATGTTGTTTTATTTTCTTGTTTGTTATATTACGGAATAGCATGACATTTATTGGACCATGAATTTTTACCATAGAAAAAAAAATGGTTATCGTTCACTGTGAAGGACATCGTCTAGATACAAAAAATGAAGGCTACAGTGGGTCTAGACAAAGAAACTTCACATTCTGTACCTACTGTATGTTACCGTATAGTAGGCATACACTGTGAACATAGAATACTAGCATAATAGAGTATGTCATTAAAATACTCATCTATTATTACAAGAATCATTCTCTTTGTAACCACTGACTGATACTGATTATTTACAAAAATACCATAGATGCCGAGCCTTTTTCAAAACCATATTTATAGAGAGTAACCCTTCCAGCGTACCCTAGGTCGGCAGACATTCAGGAGCGCTCTTAAATAAATGAAATAATGTGATGCTTTTATCTTTTACGAGGCTTAAAGAGTGGAGTTGTTTTACTTGTGTGAAAAAGTTCTGCTGTCACAGGAATTGAACCCAGGACACTGGGATTAGAAGGCAGGCATCTTAACCACCAAGCTACAGTAGGCAACTCCACTCATTATGTTTTACATGGGAAAACTTTGATGAGTAGTAAATAACAAGATGTAAACCTTGTGTTGTATTTCAGTGTTTACTGATGAAATAATAGCAGACCTTACAGGACACTAACCAAGTATCACACGATATCATATTTTTATAAATCATCTTCTGAGTAAAGAAAGCACCCCAACTCACTTGCAGAAGGTGGTATGTTTTGTAAACATTAAAGTGACAGTTGCTGATCAATTTTTTGATAATTCTCATCAAAGCATAAATTAAATGAGAAAATAAATCCTTAAATAAATTTTAGATATATGTTTATTCTATTGACAAATATATGCTGGTATTGTACAGTATTATGTTTACAATATATGTTGTGTTAAACCAAATGCAGCTAAGTCAAATAAAGTGCATATGTTGTGTTTTGTCTGACACGATGAATAATGGCAGGTAATATTCTGTTGATATGCATAGCTATAGATGTTATAACAATCAAAGATGATGCCCAGATATTTAACAAAAATACTGTATATTTTTTAAATATTAGTATTACTAAACAAATACTGGAGAATTTAAGTGCAAATGGGTTGTCCCAAATATCATGAATTCTGGGGTATTTTGCACTTATATTTAATTCAAATTTGTTGAAGATGGCAACACAAATTAAGTTTTCTTAAAGATCACATTAAAATTCAAAAAGGGTTTAGAGGAGCTAAACAAATTGTTATGTCATCTGCATATTATGCATTACCTTTAATTACAGGGAGCAGAGAACTGACATAGATATAGAAAAGTAATAGACCAACAACAATATCAACCTTTGGGGTATACCACTATTTATGTTATATTTACTACTCTCAACATTTTTAAAATGATAATTTCAACATAATTTTGATAATTTTCTACTCTTAAAATTTTTAAAAGGAAAATTAGATAAGTACAGTGTATTTGGTCGTATTTTTTTTTTTTTTTTGGTTTTAGGTTTTACAGCTTTTCTATTTTTCCTTTTAGTTTGTATTTTTGTATGTAGTTCTTGTTTAGTTGTACATTTTCTAGTGATGTTGTTTCATAAGTTACAATACGATCTTGTGGAAGAACACCTCTTTGATGATCAGCTTCCTTGTAAAAGAAAGATTTTATTATTATTATTATGACCTTAAGGCATTAGCACCTTCTTATGTGGGCCCTATTATTCAAGTAGCTGAGCTCAAAATACTGCCTCTTTATTGTTTATGTTGTATGAAATGATTTGTTTAGTGTGTTTGGCAGATATTCGCCCTTGATGGCTGATAAGCAACAAAATTGAATTGCTTTGAAAATGATAATCAAATGTCTCTTGTAAGCCTGTATGGCATGTGGTGGATACCTTACAATTCTCATGTGATATTCATTGAATGTCCAAGATGTCCTTGCTTATGTTATTCTTCATTTATTACTTAATATAATGTGCTGCACATTATGCATTCAATACCAGCAGATCTGTGCTCACCATCTCATTAGTCTGTCCTCAGTTGTAATCTGCGTAAAATGAATACTCTATTTATTCATTGTTTTTTTTTATTTGTAAAATACTATTAAAAATATCCAACTACAGAATATTCTACAATTTTTTTCTTTATATTATAGCTACTCCTGATATACATTTCATATTATTTATATATTATTAAATACAATTTTGTAAATTAGGCAGATTTTGGTTACAGATTGTTTGGTTGATTGCTACCTCGCCCAGTCTTTTTTTTTCCCTGTTTTATTTTATGTTGAGTTTAGGAGCTTGCAAGCAGTGGCGCATCCGAGTCTTGAAATGAGGGGNNNNTGTCATCACATTACCGCTGTCTCTTATACACATCTAGATGTGTATAAGAGACAGGTGTTTATACTGTGCAGTATATTAATTGTTCTTAAAGGCCAACTCAGCCAGTGTCACACGACACAGCCCGACGTAATTTATTGTCACGTCGGAGTTAAACGCGGACGTGATGGTTTGCATCGTAGAATATTAATATTTCTCACGCTGGCTAAAGACTGTCCCTGACAGTGAATCGCGTCGGGCTGTGTCGTATGACGTTGTGTCTGAGTTGGCCATCATGAACAGTACTTGCATTTTCAAAACATAAACTAACGTTGAAAATAAAGATAAATATGTACATCATTGTGAATAATAAATAACAAATAAAATAATAAATAATGTAAAAACTCATTTTTAAAATGATTTAGATTTGATTATAACATTTCTTAAAAAATGATTAAAAAGGACAGGCCAACTGTAATTTAGTTAAAACTGTAATATGCATTTCTGAATAAGTTCAATGTGTGGGTGAACGCATCAGAGTATTTTAAATTATGTAAACCTGTAAAGTGCTGTTTTTCATCATGATCCTGAGCGTGAAGAGGAGAGTACTAAATGGAATATATTCTGTTGGGAATTAGACTTTTGCAAGCTGTACTGTCACTAGACATTGATATATTATGGCTGCCCTTGATACAATTTATGCTGGTTTATAACGTTTCTAAAATGAATGATGTTATTCATATTGAAAAAAAGTATAACAGATCCTGGTACATATCATATACAGTAACATTTTATAAAATAGAAACATATGCAAGAAATGTATTTTTATTTTATGAGGCTTACTGTATCTTTGTCTGACCTTTGAAAACTATCATCATTCAGCTATTTTCATAAAATTTAAACAATTTTACTGAGAATATGATTAATTTTTTATCATCATCATCACCAAATTATTATTGTCACAATCATCAATATCATCATCATCACTATCTTCTTTATCATGTCATCATCACATTACCATCAAATCATCGCATCATTCATTTATATTTGACTTGCATTTTTTTTTTCAAGTGATCAAGTGAAACCAGCGCCACTGAAGTGCTATCACTTTAAAGACAGAATAAATAAACACCACCATTGTCATCACATTACCGTCTTCATCATCTGCATCATGGTCTTCCTCCTCTGAGTCCTTCCCTTTACATTCAAGCCTGTTCACCAGTTAAACTTTAGTTTCTTAGTGGCTAAAAAGTGTCTTTGGGTGGTTTTTATTGTGGAAGGTGCTATACATGACCACTGACCATTATCATCATCACATCAACATCAACATCACCACCACATCGCCATCAAGGTCACACATTACCAACATCACCAATTATCATCACACTGCCATCATCATAATCATCATCAACAGATAATAGTATAATTTAGATGTACATCTGATTGGAACCAAAATTTCTGATAGTGACTGCATTTCGGAAGCACACTTATTCAATTTTCTGACTGCTTCAATAGGATTTCCGTTCTCAAAATTTGAATTTAGTGCGATTGCACCTTAATGAGTGGGACCTCACTGCCTTTAATTGGGGAGGGAGCGGGGAGGGAGCAGAGATCGAAAAATATTTTAGAGTCCCCAGACAAAAGAAATATACTTAAATGCAATTGATGCTGTACTTGACAATTCCATCTAATTGTCATCATAAAATTAGAGTGGAGTTGCCTAGCTTGGTGGTTAAGATGCTTGCCTTATAATCCCAGGGTCCTGGGTTCAATTCCTGTGACAACAGGACTTTTTCACACAACTAAAATGAACTTCTAAGCTCTCACAAATAGACAGTTTATAAAGCATCATCCATCCTGTAAGTGGTAGGTCACTTGCTGTTGGATGCTAAAGAAATATTTAAAATAAAGAAATACATACCAATAAATTGCCACGGTTACAGAGCCAGTGGCATATATAAGCAAAGCAGCTAGTAAGACCATTTTAAATGATTTTTCACAACTGACAATGATGTACACTAAACCAACGTTTTGTAAAGATTATTACGATGTGTATTAAATTGTTAATTTTTTTCTGAACTTACCTGCAACTTTAACCGCTGTAAAATGAGAACCAATCGTAGTCGTGCGATCCATACCGTTAGGATTAAGCAACTGTGTTGGCCATTTATCACAAGACGACTGGGGATACAGGTTAAGAAAACAAAATACTGCTAATTATTATTTTATCTTCTTTTAGTTGTTTAGAATTAATATTACTTTCATAAAACCATACATATCTTTTCATAATAAATTTTTTATTATGATCATTATTATCTATTATTATATTGTTATCATTATAACACTTCAACTGTTTTTTTATCCTTCATCATTAGATTTAGACTTTACTTCATAGGCCACAAAATTTGAACAAGGAAAATTTAAATAGATTTAAAAAAAAATTGTTCTATCAATGATTATTAAGCAATTAGTAGAGCTCCGCATAGTACACTATAGGAAAATTATTGTACGAAGGTTAGATTTAATGCTTGAAAAAATTGCCTGAGTGCCTGCAAGGCCCGAAAGAAATTTTTGAATGCATTAAATCAACCCTAAGTATAATAATTTTCCATTTAGTGTACGATGCATGCTCTAGTAATTGCTTTATAAGTCAATAGCCGTCTTTTAATTTTGTTTTTTATAACCAACTGTTGTAGCAGTCATCGGTTGCTATAGTGATATGATCAGTATACGTGTGCGTATTTACATTTAGCTGTGCGTATGCTGATTTTTGCTTCTGCAGTACACGTTTAATTCACTACACATCAGCAGTCACAGTACGGATACAATGAATAACTATTGTGTTAAAAAGAACTTGTTTGTAATGCTAAGTAGTTTGATAGACTTTCATCAGAGAAATAAACATTTCAGCATTCGAGAGAGAATAGTCACTGACGTCCTTTTTGGTCGGTGCATGCAGACAGGTAAAATTGTGCGATGATTTCATGACTAGGCTAGGCTACGGCCTAGTGGTAGTAGGAAGAGGCCCATGCGGCCTCCTGCCTGGCCGTAGGCCTACGTCTAAATTCGTTCCTTGAGTCTTTAAAATAGGTCTAGAATATTCCTATTAAACGTTCACTTTGTTGTGTTTATGAGGGTCCATTGATTCACTGAATTCCTTTAATTGTTCATACTTAATATTGAATTTGAAGTAAATTTCTTCGGGTTCTAATTAAGCTTGTTTTACGAAAGTAATTTTCAATTACAATTCAATTTTTATTGCGGTGCGTGATGTATTCGCGGTGACGAAAAAATGAGGATTTTTTTTTTGCACACGAACCTAAAAAAAAATCAAGCCAAGTGTCCAATAATAGAAAAATTAGTGGACACTGGGGAATAGGCAAATAACATTGGGAGTTATAGTGATGACATCACGATTGACTTATAATAATTATCATCATCAGATGGCTTTAGAAGTCTTGAAAAGATGGCCATGCACTGTCAATAATTTCTGCGTTTTGTGTTTGCTTGTGTCCGTATGTATTCATTACATGTTGTAGTTAAGTCGGATTGCATAGCACCCGGGGAGCTGACTGCATACCAACCAAACAGGGGGTGCTGCAGCCACTTCACGACATGTGACACTTGCGCTACCTATTTTACTGAAAATTCTTATGGTCTTGAACTACCATCTAACAAAATCACACTGTGGTCTAAAAGACAACAGCAAAAAGGCCACTCAATAGTGCCAGAGAGGGCACAATGTTTACTAGTTCCTGATGGCAAAAAGTGTTCCATCCAGTCGCGATCTCGTGGCTGTATACCAAAAGTAGGCTTAGCAAGGGCCTTACTGGTTTAGCACTATCAATTTCACCCCGGTTATTTCCCACTTGTGCTAAAAAGTCCTCGCAATTATACCTCATAAATACTGCAACTCCCCCCATATTTCAGGGGCGGATCCAGAGAAAGTTGGGCTGATCGAAACAACACTGCCTTAGGGGGTCCGGGGGCATGTCACCACGAAATTTTTGTGTTCTAGACCAGCGTTCCGCAAACTTTTTACTCCACGGCCTATTTACGATGCTAGGCACCAAGCCGCTGCCCAGCAATCCAGCTGCGTCAGGGACCAACATACCACAACCTGGCAAGAAGTTTTGATCATGAACTTAAGCCTCCATGTATACAATAGTTTGACATCATCAGATAATTTATCAGTTCTCTCAGTGACAAATTAATTTCATTGTATACAATTAAATACTATTTTATTAAAGAAATGATACAGCACACATGTGTTTTCACCTGACAATTTTTTTTCCTTTTTTCTATCATGATCCAACCGAACACAGTTCAGTCACACACATCATAGTTTTCTCATAGCTTTCACGCACACTCAGTTACTGCTCAACTTTAAGATGACGGTCTGGCGGTTCATCCACTACCATCACTTCTTTTGTCACGCCAAACAAGGCCATCGATCCATGTGTCTGTGTGTTGTTGGTATGCCCAATGCAAATAGTGACAACCAAAATAACCAAGCAAGTAAAGTTTGTTCTTGTACTACAGTATTATTGTTTTTGACATTAAAAACCGCTTATAGTTCAAACAGCAAGCATCATCAATCTGGCACTTTAGCAGTTTGTACAAGCAAGGAAGTGCCGCATTCATTGTAACAATGAAGCGGCTTTATTAAACTAATTTCTCCATGTTTAAACGTATCTTTTTTTTTTTCCAATTTCTCAGACGGCCTTGCGGCCCTCCAAATATACTTCGCAGCCCTCCAAAAATATTTCAAATTTGGGCCCATAGTTTGCGGAACGTCGTTCTAGATGCCCGAAAATAACATTTGAGGCGTTCTGGGCTATCATTTTTTTCTTTTTCTTTCTTTTTTTTACCTCCTATAAGTGGGGGGGGGAGGGCCCCCCCAAGTCCTCGAAAATATACCCTGTAAATACAGCACCTCCCGTATAGAAATATTTAAGAGTGAGCTTCCCGGGGCGTAGCACCAAAGCTGCAGCGGGGTCCAGCCCAAATTGCCAATTCACAGCTTCAATGGCGGCAAAATAAAGAAATATTATTCCTATTAAATTCGCATTCAAATTGTATTATTCATATACAGTAGCACCTTTGTCACTGGCAATTAAAGACACTATAAGAATTTGATTAAAGAGATCATTTTTAAGCAGAGTATTGAATGTATGTGTATCAGAATATAATTTTAGTTTGCTAGAAAGGAATATCTTAGTTTTGGAGCCACAAAAAAGAATGTTCGCTAATACAAACATGCAATATTTTTGGTACACATATAAATGTTATATATTTATACAATCCAATCAACACATTTTTAAAACATTTTGTTTGAAATTAACAACATGAGGACAATTATAAAGCTTAAGAATATTGCAATTGAGTTTACAAATAAACATTAATAAAATAAATAGGATCAGCAATCGAAACAATTACAAAAAGTATTAATCATGTAGGCCTATTATTTATCAAATTAGGGCAGGGTAGGTAAGACATTAATACTCAGAATAATTTTTACTGTTTCTAAGGGGGAACCAGTGGACAAAAACTGAAAGGGTCTGACACTGGAATGTACAGTAAGAATAATATCATTGTGAGATGGATAAAGAAAGATAATATGGATCATGTCCAAAGCACTTATGAGTGAGAAGCGTAATTTTGAAATTCAAAATGTGTTCTTGCAAAGTTAATATCAAACTACAGATAATGCAATATACTACAGTAGTAACAATTTATAAACATTGGTGTACAGTAGTTAAAACTCCTTGACTATTGTAGTTAATATCATTACAGTATAGTACTAATACTATACATTCATTCATTCATTTTTCATCATTTATTCATTTTCCCATTAATCCTCACAGGGCTTGGGAATATCTAGGATTCTGGAAGTGGGACTGAAGAGTGGGCACCTGAAGTGGAGGGGGGGGGGCCTTGATGATTAAGGGAGGAGGGGCTAGCTTGCAAAATAAGGTGATGATTTTTAACTACAGCATGAATTTTTGGTTTCAAAACATTATCACAGGGGGGAGGGGCATTGACGGGGAGACAAGCTTTGGTACATATCCTTACCACTATGGGAAACTAACTTTCAGTTGTTACTTAAAAAGTTTTAGAGATAAGGCCTACTGTTGACTATGTGAGAAGAAAGTGAATTCCACGTAATTCGTGAATCAGAAAAAGCTGCACATTTTGTATTGTTTCTTCCGAGTTTAACAAGTTTTAAGTTATCACAGTTTTTCTCTGTGGAAGGCGCTATATAAATATATGACCACTGACCACAGGTTTCCATTTGTCCTCAAAAAGTGTAGTAAACAATTTAGAGCTACTGTATACAGTAAATGTCCTCAAGATTATTTATGATTTTAAGCACTTCAATCATGTCGCTCTGTCTAGTCTCTCCTGATGCGTAGGCAAACTCAATTTATTAAGTTGTTCATCATCATCAGTTTTCTGTCTACTGGCAAGTTCACAGCAGTCAATTTCTCCTTCACATCTACGTTTAACCCGTTAAAAAATTACGTAATTCGTGGACTGGACAGCCTCAGATGGAAGGCTTTTCTAATCACTTTATTGTTGGCAAGAAACTTTGTTCATAATTTTGTTGGTACATATTTATCTCAATTTTAACATTTCTATGTTTTCTGGGTGGTTTTACCATAAATCCTCAAATACTGTAGAAACTCTTGGCCAGGCTTCTTTTTGAGATGGGTCTTTTCCAGATTACTTCTGCAAATTAAAGAGGGAATGTGGGGGGGGGGGGCCTTCTTTTCAAATTGAGTTTTGTAAATATTTGGAATTGCTATTAAATATAAAACTGTAAAGGATACTAAAGCATGGAATTAAATATTTATTAAAAATAAAAACATCATTTAATTGAAATGATCAAAACATCCCGACGATAAAATAACAAAAGATAAGCCTATGTGATTAGTGTTGACACTTGACATTCTGCTGTAATCAGATGTTGTGAATCTTGCAGCTTTCCTTTGCATCATTTCAATTTTTTGGGCGCTAATGAATTTTCGCACCTAACTTTTAATTCTTAATTTTTTTACCTCAACGTTCTTCTCACAGTCACAACATATAATTAACAAACACTTTCACCTGATTTAACCTATCACAAAGTACCTTTTTCAACAAATAATCCCACAAATAAGTACAGCGAATCTGTGTTCGCTAGCACGACGAGCAGCTGCCATTTTGCAATCAGTAAGAAATTGCCAGAACTTTTAATTCTTAATATTTTTACCTCAATGTTCTTCTCACAGTCATCACATATAATTAACAAACGTGTTCACATAATTTAATCACTCACAAAGTAACTTTTTCAACAAATAAGCCCACAAATAAGTACAGCGAATCTGTGTTCGCTAGCACGACAAGCGGCTGCCATTTTGCAATCAGTAAGAAATTGCCAGAATGTCTGAGTTTGCAGCGTGAAGTTTTTTGATTAAATGTTTATAAAAACTTCTCTATTTGCCATATTGTATGTCATTCTTTATATTGTATGGTGCTGTTGTTTGACTATGTGTGTTCACATGAAATTCACACGTATAATAATTACTTCAAAAATTAGTAATGATCCAAATGCATACACAGATCGAAAAATAGGGCCTAGGCCTAAATCCAGAAAAACAACTATCAAAGCCAATGATAAAAAACGTCGGTTCAATTAACCTTGATTACGACAAGAAAGTTCAAAAAGATGGTAGTGCATGATGCCACATTTTGTTGTCGGATGTTTCATGGGAAAAATCCAATTAAAATTATAAGACTGGCCTTTAATGGTTTCAAAATTTGTTGAAAAAATGTACTTTATGAGTGGTTGAATCATGTAAATATGTTTTATAATTATGTGCTGTGACTGTGAGAAGAGAATTAAGGTAAAAAAATAAAAAATTTAAAGTTAGGTGCGAAAGTTCATTAGCGCCAATTTTTTGTTTATAGTAGACGAAACTTGCATTTTGGATCCCACAAACTGAGCATGCATGAAAGTTTTGGATGAATGCTGGACCGTATGTCAAGGCTCTGTTATAGGTCAGTCTGTTAAGTTAGAATAAATAGCTGTGTATTAACATGAGAGAGCCATCCAGGGCTTCTTTGGACTGTGGGCCCGAGAGCCCATTGGGCGTTACGCAACTAGCTAGGAACAACAAACCTTCATAACCCCAGGAATGGCTCGCTGCTGGATGAAGTGATAGGAGGATAACAGAAAGCTGTGTTGATGTATTAAGAGAGGAGAACTTGCCAAGCCTAGGCCTAGCCTACACAGTTGCTCCTTGCCTGATAAGCTAAAGGATTTCTAACTTCTGAACAACTGAGAACCACTCATCATGAATTAAAACTCCAGAAATGTTAATGCATTATATTTATATCTCTATCACTTAAAAAAATTCACAGAAATTGTGTTTTACCTACCTGAAACAATCTCCATTTAAAGAAATTCTGTCCTCGCGCTTCCCTGCATTTGTTGATATTAAAAAATTGTTTACATCTGTTTAGCGCCCTCAATCGTAGAAGAGCTCTAATCATATCATCAATATTCAATATAATTTCAATGTTCATGATTGTATCTTTTTGGATATTGTATCAGGGGTGGCGCCAGGATTTGCCCGATGGGTCAGGTTTTTCCCTACAAAATCAAAATGGGCGTGGTCGAGTTTCGATTAAAAGGCTTCGAAAGTGGTCCAAAAATTTAGACAATTTAGGGGTTTCAAAGGCTTGTTTAATCGATTTTAGAGTCTCCTAATATGTAGAAAATCATATAATTTTTTTTGGGGGGGGGGGAAACTTCCCCTCCCCTAACGGTTTTTACCGGGCTGACCAAGCCGTCGTACCGGGCTGGGTAATAAGAGAAAAGAAAGAGGGGAGAGGGAGGGAAAGAGAAAGAAGAGGAAAAGAAAAGGAAAGAAAAAGAAAAAAGAAAAAAGAAAAATAAAGACAAGAATAAAAAGGAAGCTATCATAATGACCAGACTCACAACACCCTGCAACCCCTTCTCCACTTCAAAAACTCATTTGATCTATGCTGCCCGATGGCGTAACCACTGGGAGACAAGGGGAAAATATCTATCTTTGAAAAATCTTCCCCACCCCTTTATAAATGCCCTTTTCATCCCCTGAATGTGCATAAAAACCTAAAATTGCGCGCACTTCGCGCGCATTTCTTGTTAACATGGGCCCATTTCCTCTAAAAATTGCACATTTTAGGGCGTTTTGATCAATTCCAACGAAATTAGAATTAAAAACACAAAAATATTTTGCGCGCTTGGCGCGCATTTTTTAGGGCTTTTTTAGGTTTATACTTTTAAGTTATTTAAACACATAATAGTCCCAAACTCAAGAAAGACAAATTTAAGATAGATCGTTTTAACCTAAAAGAAGGGCCCCAGCTGTCGCCAAGAATGTAAACGCAACATCACTCTACTTCTATTTCTCCATTAGTTGAGTCGTTCAATTAAAAAATACTATATCTGTGAAAATATCTATCTTTGAAAAATCTTCCCCACCCCTTTATAAATGCCCTTTTCATCCCCTGAATGTGCATAAAAACCTAAAATTTCGCGCACTTCGCGCGCATTTCTTATTAACATGGGCCCATTTCCTCTAAAAATTGCACATTTTAGGGCGTTTTGATCAATTCCAACGAAATTAGAATTAAAAACACAAAAATATTTTGCGCGCCTAGCGCGCATTTTTTAGGGCTTTTTTAGGTTTATACTTTTAAGTTATTTAAACACATAATAGTCCCAAACTCAAGAAAGACAAATTTAAGATAGATCGTTTTAACCTATAGAAGGGCCTCAATGTGTATTGCTGGTGAAAGAATATGTTTGTAATAAATAAAACCATGATGAAAATGTTTATATTTAGTTTCAAACACACGTGTGTGGAATATATTATAAATAAGATAAGCCCTATGTCGTATTGTTTTCTATATGGGGAGTGGGGTGGGGTCGGTATGGTAAATTACTAACCGGGAAAATAAATACCCACTCTGACCCAAGACCCTTGTTACGCGCCTGGTGTTAGCGCCAATGTGAGTCCTTGTACGGACAGGGGATGTGCCCCCCCCCCCTCTGAAGCTGGAAACCTTGTTTTTTTGCAAAATAAATTGATGCAATTTGCCTATATTATAGGCCTAATCAATAAATTCCTCATCAACCGATAAAACCTTAAACATTCTTGGAATTGACATAACAATACTGATGCCGTACACACCCTTCAGTGTGAAATGTGGCTCTCTTTGCAATCACATCTAACATCTAAGGAAAGAAGAGCTTAGATTGGGGTACCAGATAAAATAATTTTGTTATCAACATTAATACATTATGCTAATTTTCATCTTTGTAAGCGCATAAGACAGTGCAAATTATTTCTATGACAGTCCTTTGAAGTGTGTAAAGCTCCATTTTATCCCATACATAGTCAAAATATTGGGGGGATGATACAATGGACCATCCCCCCTTGTCAAATATTGGGGGGATATATCCAACATCCCCCCACCCCTGGATCTACGCCTATGCTATCTCCTATATCGGAGTTGGGCGCAGACACTCCAAAATGGAGTAACTACATATACTCTAGTGGCCTCTGGGGACCCGAGACAGCCACAGTAAAGCACCAGTAGGCCTACCGACATACAGATACATGTCCTTTATCTCGCCTAATTAACTTGCCTAATTATTGATATATTATCTCGCCTAATTGTGTGCATCTAAATTTAATAGTTTGTATTAAAGATATTTGAGGTATATTCATTCAAAATTCAAAATTCAAAAAAATAAAAATATATACATAGTAGCAACAATGCTGAATTGCGTATGGATGTACAAAGGTAAATTATTAAAATGGCAAAAAAAAGACAACACAAAAAAAGAAATTACATACAAGATGATATACAAAAAAGAAAAATCACGAAAAAGCAAAACCAAAAATGCGAGGACACCGAAAGGAGCAATCTTGAGTTTAATTTTGTGGGTGGTATACGTGCTTGTCCCAAAAACACAAAAGTTTACGTGGCCTATTCTTTAGGTAAAGGGGACGTGTGTTTGTGAGGGATGATTTCCTCTCCCAATCTAGGAAAAAAATGAATAAAAAAAGACTGCATTATATGCAATCTTGTTTTTTCATAAGCAAACCAACCGTATTGTTGTCCTATCTTTGTTTGAACCTTTCCAAATGTATGCTAGCAATGCATTAAGTTCCATCTTGCAAAAACGTCGACAACGAAATGTTGAGCGAAAGTTTCGGAAAGAACCAAGTACAACAAAATCCCCACGAAAGTACGTTGACGGTTGATGATTGCACTTGTCATGATGTTATAACCAGTGACGTCACGCTCGGGCGCTGACGGGGGAGGAGCGCCAGGGCCCCAGGCACGAGAGGCCCGGAAATTGTAGTTTAAAAATATATATATAAATATAAACTATTATACCATAGTTTCATTCAATAGGACTCCTCCCACAGTTTTAAAATACACTGGTCTGGCATTATCATACAGAAACCGCATTATCTCAGGGCTCACGTAAACGATCGCTGCAGTTTGTTTGTTATAATGTTGCGGTTTGTCTTGCCAACCACACTTGATTGATGTTGCGCGTGACACAAGCGTGGTGTCTTTTGATTAACCGACAGTGTTTTGGAAATGTTTCGGCCTGTCGTATTCCTTATCATGATTTTGCACGTTTCTCACTAAAATATTATCTGTATTTATTTACACCTACATGAAGTACATATACCTACTGTCC